AGAATAGATCAATGGGACACCTTGAATGATGATAAACATCTCAGAGTGTCTTTGGTGTCCCTTAGGTATTACAGAATTCCCTCCACTTTTCAGAATTTTATCGACACATATGCTACCTCTATAAGTATAAATAATTAGACCAGATACTATGGGTTTACCATTAAGGGTATTGTTTATGGACCTTTGGGAGGCAATAGAACGTGGAGACTGTAGGATTTTGTTTTTTAATACACATTATTGTACTCCTCCTTCGTAATTAGTTTTTCATCAAATGCCTCATCAAGCAATATTTTAAATTAAAAATATTTTAAAGAACTGAGATGTTGGATCCAGTTTGTACGTACTTTTGTGCCTTAGGATATTCTCTGCAATCTGGACGTAATGAGATCTAGTAAGCACAACGACATTACCACCCTCGTCAGCTGGCTTAATGATGATATCCTCATTGTTTCTCAACTACTGTGAGCCCTGCCACTAGTCCTCTGATAGATTACCATGTGGAATGTACGATAACTATTCCATAGTGATCAGACAAAATCAAATTACTTGATTCCATGAACAGATCTATGTTCTTTGATTTTCTACGATGCAGAGTGGCTTTGCTCCTGGGTTTTAGTGTGGTGTATGGTTTCACAGTATCCGTGCCATTACTGTAAAGCAAATTCACCAAATCCTGAGGGCACTCAAACTCGTAATTTAAAACCCAGATCTTTAGCTCTTTTTTTTATTCTGAAGTTTATGAAAGTTATGAAGCACCAGGCATCTTGCAAATAAATGTATATCCTTGGTCCAATAAAATTGACTAAAACATGGTAGCAGGACAAATGAAAGACCCTTAAGAAGGACCCTATTTTGTGCCATAGCAAAAGTAAAATTTGAGAGGTTGATACTTTTATTATCTAAAATGGTCTGCATTTATGTCTTCTCTGTCTGGTTGAGGGTTCATCACATCTTCTGGGGAACCCACCCTCCCCCCCCCAGAAAAAGACTCCTTTCTTTGGCATCCCCCTTGAGTTCAGGGTACCTGTCTCCTTATGTGCCTTTTGTGGAGTTTCTGAAGTTTCATATATATTATATATTCTCTATATAATCTCTGCCAAGCAGCACACCGCAGCTGAAATAGCAGCCACAAGACAAGGGAACATGCTGCTGGACATGAGGAGACAAGTGGAAGACCTTGATAATAGAGGAGGAGGTGGAATATCAGGATTCGCGGCCTACCCGATACCACACACAGGGGGAGCCACTAGACGCCACGCTGCAAGCACTGTAACTTATTTCTGGCCAATGATGACCCAGAGAATTTCCAACTAGATCGGGCACACAGGGCCCTCCGCCAACCTAGGCAAGATGGGACGCCCCGTGATGTTATCTGCTGTGTGCACTCATTCCAACAAAAGGAGCACATCATGCAACAAACCAGGGAATGCCAGACATGGCAATTTCTCAATGCAGCGGTCAGTCTGTACCAAGACCTGTCACCACTCACATTGGATGCCAGGAGGGCCCTGCGCTCAATCACGAGTCTCCTCCGCTCGCACAACCTGCTTTCACGCAAGGACGGGTGACACCTGAGCCACGATAAAAACACCAGAAGACGTAGCAGGGTTTTTTTTCGAGCCCTCAAGCTGCCTAAAGTGATGGTGCAAAATTGGATACTACATCCGACCACACTACCGCTGAGAGAACAGCGCTCAGACCAACATAGACGCCCTTTACTCCACTCACCCCCTGCCACGTCAGGCCGAATGACACCACACAGAGCGGAGGAATGTGGGTCACTCCAGCCCACTTCCATGATAGGTTTGAGGGTACCTACATTATAGTCAATGAGAATTGGGGAGGTGGGGGCTCGAACTTACACGAGGGTTACTTCAATGGTAACGCACCCACACAAGGATTCCTTACTGGGGAGGGTAACACCGGTGTGCCTGTCCTTGTTCCGATGAGTTGTTCACCTAAATGTGGAGTCCTGGGTCCTGCCCCAGGGGTACTGGTTGGGGACATGTATTGCATCAAACCAAGTCCCTCCTTGGTGGAGAATCACGGTTTCATGTTCTGGGTGGCCCAGGCATTTGGGGACTCCAAGCTCGTACGTGGTTTGGGGAGAGGAGGGCCCCATACGTAAAATGCAAGAGGTGCTTACGGCAACCCCCTTAACTTTAGCAAAGATGGGGGCCATGACCCTCCGCACTATGTGCAACGCTGAACTGCCAGACGTGGGGCTCTGCCCCTGGGGTATTGTTGGGGACACGCTGAGGTGGTTTCCGTGCCTCGTGGGTGGGTGTCCATGACTATGTTTTGGGAAGGTTAGAGGTGGAGAAGCATCGGGGGTGCAAACGGGGAATTATGGTTTGCCCAACACAGTCTCAGATCACACAGCCTTGGGGGCTGCACCGGGGAAATTACCATAAGGAACAATCAGCTACATATGGGCCGCTGATATTGCTGAGTGCTTTCTAATGGTTATGCTACTTACATTACTGTGTTATTATGTTAAGTTGGCCTTGACACCTCTTATTCACCACCAGATGTGCCTTTTAGCTAGCTTTTAATAGATGTGTGGACATGTGTAATTGGGAGCAAATTGTTGAGGGTGGGTCATCCCCCTCCCCTTTATATTTTCTCTTTGGCAACCCCACCGAGGAACTGGATATGCCCCATCAGGAGATGTGGAAAGATATGTACAGTTGCATGATAGAATATACCACTGATGCTTACCTTGCTGCCAAGTGGATGGGTGGGCAGTGACTGCGGACACATCAAGGGACAACCTAAACCATGAAGGCTAAGATCCCTAGACCTAAGTTGAGCAGTCAAGAAGACAATATAAGCTCACATCAGAGATCAGTGGGCTTCTGAGAACAAAAATAGACCATTTCTATATAATAATCCCCTCATATGCCATACTCTCACAAAAAAGAAATACCAACCTGTTTTGTGAAACAAATTATGCCTATTGTACTATTGACGCCCATTGAGAGTATATTTCATGGAAACTATGTAACAAAACCCCTCTGTGATTGCAGTAGTTATGGTGGGTTTTCCCTCCCCTACAGTGATTATGGTGGTTCATTATTGCAACAAAGGACTCGTCCCTTGTCATTTCTTGGATTTTATATATATATATATATATAGAGAATAACAAGCTTTGATGCATTAGTAATTAGTAAAACGTAGTGTTAATGCTAAGCTACATACGCTTATTAAAATCATGGTTATGCTTAGAGTTATAGGTGTGTGGCATAGCATTTATGAGGAGAGTAATCGCTGTTACTTCGTTAAGCAGGCTGAGATATGTGTACATGGAGTACGTATGAGAGGTTAGATTACGCGCCTAGGTTAAATCTACTCCTATGGCTATCGCATGGTACAACATAAAATTAATAGAACATAAGATTAATAATGCCAGCGAGAAAGTAAAGCAATATAATAAAAAGTAAAATAATAAAATCCCCTAGGGTCCTTCTCCAACCATGCCGGCTGATAGAAAAATATGCCCCCAAGTTCATGGTGAGGCTCAGGGTGCCACGTCCGGTCTTTCCATCAGGAGACCAGAGGCTCGATTAGCCCAGGGTGGTTTACCCAATGCCGCGTTTTGGCTGTGTAGTGCCCTGCTGCGGGTGCTCGTGGAGCCGCCTTGCGTTGCGGTGATCCATCGAGTGTGGTAGTGGTTGACTGGCTGGACCGTGTGGCTGGAGTATAGTAACCTCTGTTGCAGTGAGTGCTTGAGGAGGTCTTGTGCTCAGTCTCGCCTGTTATCTCTGTGTTGCTGCCTTGCGTGGAGGAGGTGAGTGTTTGACTCTCTGCTGCCATCTTTTGTCTTTGTTCCCTGCTGGAGCTGCTCGTTGTCGCCGGGGGTCAGATGGCGGCTGTCGGGGTGAGTGGCTTTCTGACGGTAGTATTGTACTTTGTTGAAGTCTGTGCTCCAGCTTGAGCCAGAATTCTTGAAATATGCAGTCCAGGTTGGACACATGGTTGCGTTGCACCTCTTGGTTGTCTGAGGGCTGCGTGGTCTCCGCCATCTTTGGTGTGCCTCTCATCTCTCCGGCTAGCCTTACTGTTGTTGCCGCTGTGTCAAGGAGGACCCCAAGGGGTGGCTTGGGGGTGGGGGACTACGGGGTGCCCGCTTGGAGCAGTCGGTCCTAAGGCAGCTCCAGACCGGGAGATCGGCCGCCTCTCCCATCCGTCGCCAGCCAGGCCGCACACTCTCGTGGGCATATCTGGCCGTCTGTTGTCCGCTCATGGGCCGCATCACCGGGTCACCATGGGGACTGAGGGCTGGTAAGTCGCTTAAGGTCTCAGCTGAGGGTTGTTTGTGGTCAAGAAGTACCATTTTAACTTAGCATAGCGAGGAGCTCTAGCAAGGCACGTCTTCCCTCCATGACAGTCAGGCCCCGCCCCCCGTGTTTTCTGTGTTTTGGGTAAAAATTTATATTTCTGCCTGTGGATAATTAAGTTATCCCTTTAGCTATCTTAATTATATCACAGGCAGAGGGGAGGGCTTGCTGACTGTATGTGGGAGTGTTACTGTGTTAATTATTGCTCCTATTGGTTTGTGTCTCTTTTGTCCCTGTGTTCCAACAGGTCCAAGGAGTGTGCCTCTGGCTTGAAAATGGCTTTAACAACTTTTAATTCCATTAATTACTTTGAAGTCTATTCTTCTGATAGCCCTTACTTCAGGCAGAAGGATTTCAGAGCATCAGGCCCTTTAATGTGAATCCATTTCTGATTCTTCAGGAAGATAGGGCCATATTACGGACTGTTCCATCTTTTCACCCCAAAGTGGTGTTCTTCCCTGTCAATCAAGACATCATTTTACCATCCTTCCCCCCATCTTCAACAGAAGAGGAGTGCCATTGTGTTGAGATGGTCTGTGGTTTATCAATTTTCTTAGAGCGCATCAGAAAGACCTTGTCTGTTTATTATTCCATCTGGACACAAATTTGACCAGGCTCCTTCTAAGTCTTCAATTGGTCAATGGATCATTTCAGTAATTTCCTAGCCTTATCAGACATCTGGAGTTCTAGTACCATTGGGTATCTTGCTCTCTCCACTAGATCCTTGGTTCGTCATGGGCAGCTGCAACTAATGTTTTTCCTGACCACATTTGTTCAACTGCAACTTGGCTGTCCTTTACAAAAATCATTATTGTTTGGATGTAGTCAGATCAGCTAGCAGTATATTTGGCAGGAGTGTTCTTTCAGTTACATTATAATTAATTTTCTAATAAATAATTTCATTTTGCATAATTCTTGTTAGTTTCCTTTATTCTAACTCCCTTATGTCTTTAGCTTGGGTATTACCCACCTGTAATACAGATATATATATATATATATATATATATATATATATATATATATTTAGGATAACAGAAAATTAATTCTATACTTACCTATATGTTTCTTTCCCAGATAAAGACCATGGCAGCACTACACGCCCTCCTTTACTTTGTTTCTAGTTAGTGGCTTTTGACTAAGAATGTAGTGGATGGAGTCGCTTTTATGTGTTCCTGTCCAATTTAGGAGTGGAAGGAGCTAATCCATCTGTAGTGCTACCATGGTCTAAAAATATCAATAAGCATAGAATACATTTTCTGTTTTACATTGCCTTGCTCCTGCAAGCTTTGTTTTGGTGCATTTGTACATGTGTTGTCAATCATCCCAGGAGACAGGTTTTGAGGCTGAGCAGCTTTCACTCATGCAAGGTTCCCATGACATGTAGAATGCTCATCTTTATATTTTATACCAAACTAGAAAAATAAAGTTTTAATCTGTTCATTCCTACTGAAACAAGGGCTGGATTTTCCAACAGGCAGTGTAAAGAGCCGCCTACAGGCCTTTGAAAAAAAGGGACACCTACCAGGAAAATCCAACAAATGGCAAAGGCAACCTTCTGCACCCCAGACATTATGGACTACATCTCCCTTGATGCTTTGCCAGCACCATGGCTGTGGTGGCAGTAAGGAGATACAGTCCATGAGTGCTCTGCAGTGCCAGAGGTTGCCAGCCCCAGTCACTGCTTGCAGCTTCTGACTCTCTATTTTATGTACTCCTCCGCTTCCTGTGATAGTGGACATTGCAGATAGGATACAGAAGGTGGCTTGCATACACCCCGCCTCGGTTTGTTTTAATCCCCTTACTCTCAGTAACCATTGCCCCCGTGCGGCTCCATGCTCCCTGTGGGGGGCGCTCTAATTGGAGTAATACCGAGTGTTGGAGCTGTCACAGCCCGGGCTCCTGCACTCTGCCCTCTGTACACAGTGACCTTGTGCCCTCGGTTACACAGGGAGGATCCTCAGCAAACAGCCCCGACCGCTCACGTCACGAGCCGCTGACGCCTCTTTCCTCATGCACGCACGCACGCACCCACTGTGACTGCAAAAATCCCTTTCACGCCGCTCGCCCAACCAATCCCGAATCGCTCTCTCCGCTCAGCCAATCGCATCGCGCACCGCCCACCTGCCTAACCGGGAGACTTGGCCGAAGCTCGCAGCCAATCAGAGAGCCGCCGTGTGTTTGAGTGACACGGATACCCTGGCAGGAGTCAGGAAGTGGCTGCCTGGATGCTGCCAGTTGTTCTGTGTCTGCTGGAAGGAACGCATTGCCTGCACCATGGCCAGCGGGGATAAGACCACCTACCACACCCTGGAGGAGATACAGAAACACAACCACAGCAAGAGCACCTGGATCATCATCCACAACAAGGTGTACGACGTCACCAAGTTCCTGGAAGAGGTAGGTATGGCTGGCTGGCTGGCAGTGATGGTATGTTGCTGGTGCTTTCACTGGGATCAGGTGTAGCTAGCCCTTTAAATCATAGACAGCGTGCTTTATTTATAGAGTGCATTGAGAGAGAATACTATTATAAGTACACCCTACCTGAAAGACATGTACTGTATATATTTATAAAAACTATGTATTGCATTGGTATCAAAGCTGTTTGCATGATGGACTACATATCTCACAATGCTCAGCCATCCATACACAGTAATGGTTTATACAGGTTTGTGTGTATCTTTAAATCACCACCCACTGTTGATCAGCATGTTGGGTCACTTGTAAACAAAACCAGAGAATATGAGACTCTTTAAAACAAGTTCCAGAATGGCATCTCTGTGATACAGGGTCTGAGAGATGTAACAGAACAAAGTAGATGAATTGAAAGTAAAGCTGATTCAGATAGACAGATATTTTAGTAAAGAGATACTATTGGCATCCACACGATCTTAATAAAGTGATCTGGGTGCGGTGCTCCTGTCATTTTAGACTTGCAGTGTAAAACCTAGTTGTTTAGTAGATAAGGCAGTGTTTTTTTTCTTCCTGACAGCCACTAGAGGTTATTCTGCTGTAAGAACACCCACACACACTTGCATGCATGCATGCACACCAGCTTGTGCACACCCTTGCACGTCTGGTCTGAGGTCTGTGAGGGAGGGGGAGGCATGTCTCATAAATATCAGCACTTTTATAAACTGTGGCTAAACTATGATACTCCACATCCATAAAGCACTTCAGCAAGATTAATTGCTTTTGGGGTGTAGAGTGTTCCTTTTAATTGCCTTGCCAGATCCTACAGCAGGCACATTTTGTGTGATTATATTTCAATCAACCTAGCAGGGGATAATAACTTCTAAAGTAATCACACTGTACTATAAAAAAATGAAATCTCTTATTTTCATGGAGGCTGTGTGAGTTTAACAGCGAGGGTAATAAAAGCATTTAATTCCTAAATGGCAGAGAATTGAGCTGTGAGACTTACATGACACATTTTCATCTGCACTATAAGACGACCTAAACAAACACTCTGAGAACCAGAACTACAGCTTTATATAGTGGTTTTGCTAAGAGCCTGTCTCTGCAACCTGGTAAATATAAAAACTGCAATTTCCATAAGGACATTACAAGTGCCTTCATTTTTCTTAGTTTATTACATTTAATAAATTGTTTGTGTTTTTTTTAGTTATTTTTTTTTTGAGAAAATGTCACTTTTAATCAACCTAACTTTGCTGCTGTTGTAGGTTCACACGCGACAATCATAGCAGCAGGCAAGTTAGGTTGAGCCGCAGTACTAAAAAAACGAGAAGTGAACAAAGTGTATTCCTGACCCTATAGTGCTAGAAACACTATTTAGGTGGCCTTCCCCCTTTTTTTTTCTTAATAGGGTTAAATCTTACTTTTATTCCAGCACCGCACCAGTCCAATTTCATCCAATCTAATTTTTTCCCATGGGAAAGCATTGGACTGGCTGAGATTGTCAATACTGATGATCTCAACCAAGGGGGGTGGGGTGGAGCCAAATACAGCACTGGCCAATCACCATCTCCTCATAGAGATGCATTGAATCAATGCATCTCTATAGGGAATGTTCAGCGTTTCCATGCAGTGTGTGTAGATGCTGACTGTTAACTACACTAAAATAAATTATACTTGTCCAAGGATGGTCATACAATTCAGGAATTCTGGCAAGGCTAGCTGCTGTAATCCATCATCCCGTTCTTCAGTGACTAATCTTTTAGTGGAGCCCTCCTAAATCCCTTATAGAAGAAGAGAGCAAGTGATAGCTGCCACAGGAGCTGGCCCTAGGCAGCTATATAAACACTGCCTTTTCTCTAAAAAGGCAGTGTTGATGTGAAAATGCCTGCAGGGACATACTATATACACCAGAACAACTACATTAAGCTGTAGTTGTTCTGGTGACTAGTGTCATTTAAACATTGTGGTGTTCCTTTAATTGAAGGAACCTATCAAATTTGTGGCAATTAGGTAGGGATCAACCAATTATCGGTCTTTTCAGCAATATCGGTATCGGCAAATAGAGATACCGATATTGCCGATAATACATACCAGGACCGCCGGGCACATTACAAGCCCGGCGGTCCTGGGGGGCCCAGCAAGCGCTTACTTACCTTCCCAGCAGCTCCCCTGTGTAAATCTTGCGAGTCCCACGGTCGGCACACAGGCCGCGAAATTTATACAACGGAGACGCTGGGAAGGTAAGTAAGTGCTTGCTGGGCCCCCACTGCACAGTCCAAGCCACCGGACCACCAGGGAAGGCTATATCCCCCTTCCCTGGCCAAGCAAGAAGCAGGGAGGGGGGACTATATTTAAAAATGCCTCCCCCCTCCCTCCCCATTTTACCCAAATAACATACCTACAGAAACACACACTCTGCATTCACTATATATACTGCATTTATTATACACACTGCATCCACTACACAGACACAGCTTCCCTGTCTAAACACACTGCATCTACTACATATGGTATGTATATTTTGTGCATTTACCTTTAGAAATAGGGTTTTTTTTTTTCAAAATGGTAAATGTACAGAATATCAGTAAGCGATCGGCCTGAAGGTTCACAGATTATCGGTATCGGGTCTAAAAAAATCAATATTGGTTGATCCCTACAATTAGTTTCCACTTTGTGTTATTTAAATAGTAGGAATGTACAAACTATTTGTATAATAAATTTGTAAGCACATAAAAAAAGTAATATAATATACTAATATATGATGACATGTTTGCACTGCTATTTTTTTGCAATACAGTACTTAAATGCACGTTTTTGTTCCTTCATAGTTGAGTTTTTCTTGCAAGAGTGGTTGAGAATGCATTGCAGACCAAATCAAATGAAACAGTTCATACATTTTGTAATGATTGCAGCAGTGATGTCTCCTACTTGAATGCATAGCATAACTTCCAACGTTTTAAACTGAGGGGCACTTCAATTTTGGGGGGGTGAGAGTGGAGGAGTGGCAGGGCTGTTCTTAGAAAGTGTATGTGACTTACGAATAACAATTTATGCAACTAAAATTCAATTTATAACCATAATAAGGACTATTATTTACACAGATAGCTAAATACATTTATTGGTGTTTAAAGACACATTACTGTGAGTATTCTTACCGCCAAACACACCAATAATGCGGAACTCCTAGAAAAGCGGGACAGAGGGATCAAAAATTGGGTCAAAAATAGGGACTGTCCCTTCTAAATATGTACAGTTGGGAGGTATGGCACAGCCATGTGTTAGTTTCAAGTGAACATTAAAGGATCACTATAGGGTCAGGCACACAAACTTGTATTCCTGACCCTATAGTGCTAAACCCAACATATAGGTGGCTTGCCCTCCCCTTCCCCCCGCCCCCTGTAAAAGTCTAAAACTCCCCTTATTTCCAGTGCTGCGCAGGTCTGCTGGCCCTGGCTCCGCCCCCTTTGGGACATCATCAAAATGGCAGATTTTTAGCCAATCCTATGGGAAAGCATTGGATTGGCTAAAATCAGCATGGGGGGGGCAGGACCAAATACCGTTTTGGCCAATGTGGACCTCCTCATAGAGATGCATCTCTACGATAAAAATTCAGCAACGCTGAACGGCAGGGCTGCTTACTGGGCAGCCCTGAGCCATGAAGCCCCTCCAGTGGCCATCTGAGAAGTCGCCACTTGGAGGTGTCCCTAGGGGCAATGTGAACACTGCCTTTTCTCTGGAAAAAGCAGTGTTTATATGAATATGCCTGAAGGGAGCTATTATACTTACCAGAACAACTACATTAAGCTGTAGTTGTTCTGGTGACTATAGTGTCCCTTTGAACATGTAATGTTGTATAAAGTTTTGTTGAGTGTAAAGTTCATAGTTGCATTGTGTCATCTTGTGTGCGTGCTTAAGTGACAAGTAAATGCTTGCTCAGCATTGGATGCATGTGTTAAACATAAAAGACTTCAAAGAAAAGATCTTGTAGCGATTGTTGCATACTGTAATCTTAATGATTTTCTCTTTGCAAGTGGAGTGACCGCTATTAGTAGAACATGTCAGTGGAGACCTGAGTCTTAAAGGACCACTATAGTGCCAGGAAAACATACTCGTTTTCCTGGCACTATAGTGCCCTGAGGGTGCCCCCACCCTCAGGGTCCCCCTCCAGCCGGGCTCTGGGGAGAGGAAGGGGTTAAACTTACCTCTTTCTCCAGCGCCGGGCGGGGAGCTCTCCTCCTCCTCTCCTCCTCCATAGCAACGTCATCAGCTGAATGCGCATTCAGCCAGTTCATAAGAAAGCCTTTACAATGCTTTCCTATGGACGCTGGCGTCTTCTCACTGTGATTTTCACAGTGAGAAGCACGCTAGCGCCTCTAGCGGCTGTCAAGAGAGAGCCACTGGAGGCTGGATTAACCATATTATAAACATAGAAGTTTCTCATTAAGCTGAAGTGGTCTGGGTGCCTATAGTGGTCCTTTAATATTGGCTTTTTTGTTTTCTTTTTTGTTGCATTTAATCTATGAATGCTGAACTAATGCTTTAGGTTCTTTCTTTCTGTCTCTTAGGTTGGTTTGTTTAATGGATAATTTTAGGGTGGTTTATATGTATTCATTATTTGCGCAAATACACTAAAATAAATTTTATACTTCTCCAGGGATAATCTTGCAATTCAGGAATTCTGGCCAGGCTAGCTATTGTACTCCATCATCCTGTTTTTTTGTTTTTTTCCTAGGATCAGTGACTTATAGTCACCAGAACACCTACAGCTTATTGCATTTGTTCTGGTGAGTAGAATCATTCCCTTCAGGCTTTTTACTGTAAACACTGTCTTTTCAGAGGAAATGCAGAAAATTCAGAGTGTGCAGCCCTGCCATCCAGTGTCTCGATCCTCTGCATGGAGACACTGAACTTTCCTCATAGAGATGCATTGATTGGTCAGGACTGTGTTTGGCTTGTACTGGCTCTGCCCCGATCTGCCTCCTTGACAGTCTTAGCCAATCTTATGCTTTCGTATGGGAAAGCATTCTTATTGGCTTTGATCAACACTTCTGATGGTGTCAACCAAGCAGGCAGAGCCAACAGCAGCAGACTGGAATATAGTTAAGATTTTATTGTGTTTAGGGTAAGGATTGAACGATTATCGGTCTGGACGATAGTCTGTATTTTTGGCAATATCGGTATCGTCCAGTAAAGATACCGATATTGCAGATAATTCATACCAGGACCGCCAGACCCATGACAAGCCCAGCGGTCCTGGGGGGCCCGCAGCAAACCCAAATTACATACCTGCACAAAAACACGCTCTTGCATTCGTATACACACACTACACAAACACACACACACGGTCTGCATTCGTATACACACACTACACAAACACATGCGCTCTGCATTCGTATACACGCACTACACAAACACACACGCTCTCTTCATTCGTATACATGCACTACACAAACACACACGCTCTGCATTCGTATACACACATTACACAAACACGCGCTCTGCATTCACTATATACACACTCACTCTGCATTCACTATATACACACTACACAAACGCGCGCACACATACACACTCTGCATTCACTATACACACACTACACAAATGTGCGTATACACGCACTACACACACACGCTCTCTTCATTCGTATACATGCACTACACAAACACACACGCGCTCTGCATTCGTATACACACACTACACATACACACACGCGCTCTGCATTCGTATACACACACTACACAAACACACGCTCTGCATTCACTATATACACACTCACTCTGCATTCACTATATACACACTACACAAGCGCACACTCTGCATTCACTATATACACACTACACAAGCGCACACACACTCTGCATTCACTATACGCACACTACACAAATGCGCGCACACACTCTGCATTCACCATATACACTACACACACTGCATTCACTATACACACACTACACACACACACACACTACATTCACTTTATACACCCTACACAAATACACACTGCATTCACTACAAAAAACACACAGATTCCCTGTATAAACACACTGCATCCACTACATGTGGCATGTATATTTTGTGCATTTACCTTTAGAAATAGTTTAGTTTTTCAAAATGGTAAATGTACAGAATATCGGTAAGTTATCGGCTATCGGCCTGGAAGTTCACAAATTATCGCTATCGGCTTTAAAAAATCAATATCGGTCGATCCCTAGGAAGGCAAGGAGGTCAGGGGGCTAGATGGTGTTTTTAACATTATAGGGTCAGGAAAACCATGTTTGTGTTCCTAACCCTATAGCGTTCCTTTAAGTGGAGTCCTAAATCTCTTATAGAAGAAGAGGGCCGGCAGTACAATCTGTTTCTGCAGCCCTTACTGCTTGGATACCATATGATTTACCTGGGGTAACTCTAGTCTTCCTTCCATTTATGATTTATGTCTAAAGCATTCATATTTGGAGGAAATTTGTTGAAAGAGAAGATAAGCTATTATGGCAGGATGTTTAAATGCAGTAGTGCATATGTGTTGCCAGGCTGTGTGTTTGCATACAGGGCAGCAGTATGGGGGTGAGAGAGAGAATAGTGATGGTTTTTGGTTTGTGTGTAGTTAAATTGTAAACATAGGATCTGTAATTTTTGTGCACCAATTGCAAATCCTGTATGTATAACGTGATCGCAAATGTTAAAAAATATTAATTCAATGTATGTTTATCTCAAAGATCACTTCCTCCTCATCACACTACCTATACCAATCTGTTACACCTCCAAATGAAGAATGGCAGCCTAATTCTTATCCTAATGTTGCACTCCATATTTTGTATACTTTACGGAAATTACTAATTAAAGTGCTCTGGGTGCAGTGTACCTGTTCCTTTACCGTGTAATTTAAAAAAAATACAGTTTTAAAGAAACTGCACTGTTTACATTGCAGGGTCAAAGCTGCCTCTAGTGGCTGTCTACCAAACAGCCACTAGAGGTGTTTCCTGCAGTTTACAGAGTTTAACTCTGTGAAACAACGCTGGGCGTCCTCACGCTTTGCATGAAAATGTCCAACGTTTTACAAATCCCCATAGGAAAGCATTGAATCAATGCTTTCCTTATGGAGAAGACCTAATACATGCATGGCGCGTTGGAGGAGAAGACAAAGCAATCGTCCAGGTACCTCTGCGCTAGAAACAGGTAAGTTGTAAACAAACCAAAAAGGAAATAATCTTTGATACCCTTTTAAGACAGACTTTAAAATAAGTTTGTTGATCTAATCTCTTGGTTACATCAGTTTGATTGCAGGCTTTATGTAAACTTTAAACTGAGTACAGAAGTGTAGCCAAAGGTAAAGCAAGTTTATGCTCCAAGGACATTTCGGGTTTTGTCTTCTGAATGCTGCCAATATACACGGTCTTTGTACTGCTACACAAGTATCCACAATTATGCCCTACTCAAGCACATATTGATACATTTTATACATGGTTTATAGTATTGGACATAGAACTACTTTTAATATTGTTAAATGGCTTATGTGCTTATTTTTACAGTACATGTATTTTTAGCCTAGATTTAATATGACTTTTTTTTTTTCTTATGCCATTTAATTTGGGTAACAAATATTTTAAACATTGCTAATAGTTCTTTTGAGCACCTTTTCCTAGTGTGATAATGATTTATTTTTTAATTTCTATTAAAAAAACAAGTAAAACAAAAAGAAAGCTAATAAAAAGTCAATTTAAAGGACTTTGTTAATACAGTGCTTTGCAGTTATTGTAAGGATAGCATTAAGTACAGTGGTAGAATTTATTATTATTTTTATTATATTCCATTTTATTTTGGGTCTGTTTTTCTCTTCCCTCTCTACATCTCCTTTGTCAAAACTGGAGCCAAGGAGAGCCGTTGGGCAGGGTTGCTCCCAGGCTTCTGTTCTAACAATTTTGACAAAGCAGGAGTGGAGGAGGCAGAGAGATGTGGCACAGGAGAGGAGACTTTGGGGTGGTACCATTCGTGAATGGTTTGACCTCTTAAGGTAAAGCAGCGCCTGCGATCTCCTGGCACCATAACAACTTCCTTTTTGTTGTTTTGGTGCCCAAACTGTTCTTTTTAATATACACATAATGTATGATTGTATAAACATGTTTTTAAGGCGTTTACATTCTCTAGCAACTGGGAGGTTAAAAAAAGCCTGCAGATATAACACCGTAAGCTGTGAAGGAGCCCATTAAAGGAAAAATATTGGCACCCAGACCACTTCAGCTCATTGAAGTAGCCTGGGTGCACGGTCCCTGTCAGTTTAATCCTGCAATAATAATTATTGCAGTTATTGAGAAACTGCAATAATTACCTTGCAGGGTTAACTCTACCTCTAGTGGCTGCCTGCCAGACAGCAACTAGAAGCACTTTTGGTCGCTTAACTGATGCTGGACGCCCTTTACACTATGCATGAGTACATTCAGCGTCGGCTAAAACCCCACAGGGAAGCACTGATCCAATGCTATTCTATGGGCTTGTCCTAATGCATTCCCGGCTCTTGACGCACATGTGCATTAGGTCCCTGAAATCGGGGTTGGAGAAGCAAAGGCAGAGGGAAATCTGTGCTGGATTCAGGTAAGTGACAAAAGGGTTTTTAAACCTTTCTGCGCTGGGGCGGATATAGACTAGGAATACAATGGTTTCCCTTTTTTGGTAAGGGAAGGTGTGAACTTCTGCTACAGCAATTAATTAATTAATAAATTTAAAAAGAGGCGCACCTCGCAGCTGGGGTGATCTACGGGAAGGGCCCGGTGCACGTCCAGAGTTGCCGCCCACGCGCTGGTCCACCGGCCTCTCCCCCCGCCTCCCTGTGGATGGGAAGGGGGGGAGAGGAGGCCGACGCAGCCCTTGGAGCCAATCCTTATCCTGAGGTTATACACAACTTATACGGGAAGATGGGTACGTCTTTGAGCCTATGAAAGGAGCAAATGTTATGGTTTTTTATTTATTTTAGCAAATGCCGATTTTTCTTTTCTCTTTTGCAACAGTTTATTAAATGCACTTTTGGACAACATTTTCCTTTTGAGTTACTTTTATTTGTTTAAATCAGCACTTTTTCTCATAGATCTACATGTGTCCTTCATAAATCTTTTATCTTTTTATACTTGTGGAATTACAGCTGTCTATAGAATTAGATATTTCTTCACTTTGATGAATATCTGTGTGATACTATAGTGCAAGGTTGCTACATGTTGTCCTTGTTCAGATTAATGGATGAAACCAACTCCAAGAAACTAGTCTCTGTAAGATATTGTGCATTCTGATAGAAAAAAACCACGGTAATGTCTCTTGCCCAAAGAAAGAATGAATTAGTCTTTATATAGAGTCTTACTGACTAGTGATTTATATAGAGTCTTACTGACTAGTGATTTATATCAAGATTTAAACAGACCTGGTGTTTGCATGTGTCTTATAGCATTTCAAGGCAAAAAGCTGCACATACAGACTTGAGGCACCATGACCACTTCAAATCAATTAAATGGTCATCGTGCTTTTTATTGAACGTATTGTGGCAGTTTCTGAGTTGCCAGTGATTTTTCAACTGGCAAGTTGCCCAATACAGGTTTGGTTTGTCTGCTTATTGCATTCATTGCCTCATGCTAAGTGACGTGTTCAAAAGGACTTTGGGCTCTTTGAAAGTTCAGAATTCTGAGTTTGGAATATGTATTGATCATTGCACAACCTCCTCTTTAGTACTACATATTGCCTTCAGCCTTATAATGTGTTATGCATCAAACCAAAAACCTGAGTGAGAAGAATAGTGGCCAAGTACACACCGTATACAAACAAGATCAGTATTGTGCTGAATAAAACTTGAATTACCCACCCCACCCATCATCAACTGAATCCACATTTATAGCACATAATCCCTTACACTTTACTAAACCGGATTATTCAGTACAGTGTGGATTGTAATTTAACATTTTTAATTCACTTTGAATGCACAGTAATTCACTCTTGTGAATAAACTGTAAAGTGATATTTTGTAATAGTTAAAGATGATCTCTATTTATCAGGTCATTTAGCAGATACAATTATACAATGTCTGATCTACTTTATATGTGTATGCCTGTATCTATACATCTCATTGTATGTACAGGATTTCATATTGAAATACTGCGCACACACACTCCTTGCACCATGACCACGTCCTAAAGTAGTTATGGTGCTTGGAATAGCATAGGTGTGTGTGTATGTATGTATGTATGTATGTATGTATATATGTACATGTTAAAAGGCCAATAGACCTGTATTTGTGGGAGGAGTTGTGTCCTCCACTTAAACTCTCAGCCCCTACTCACCTCTGCCGTTCACGCTGATTGACTCACCATAGCAACCAGCACTTCCAGTCCGAGATTCCCGCCAAACAGTTCCTGTCGCCTGCAGTGTCCACTGCTTCTGACCTCCGGTCCTTCCACTTGGCTTCTCCTCAGACTCGGTACCCGGCTTCCGCTCACGCGACCGGCACATACATGCAAGCACCACATGGGAAAAAAACGTTCGGTTATTTCCCACGTTCAGGCCTAAAAACTCTGGGATAGGCTCCCTTCTTACTGTATATTACCCGTTTGTGTATTTTTCTGTTCCTGCGGTAAATCAGTCGACCGCTACCTGTGTAATGCATTCGTTACATTCATCTGTTAATGTGGTAAATTAGTCGACCGCTGACTGTCTTTTACAGCCACAGCCAGAAAGGCCGAGCTCTATAGACTGCTGACCGCTCAAGCCAGTGATCCCAGGCCCGGCACAAGAAGGGAGGAACTGGACTTATACATGCACAAAGTGGTTGACTTAGGCATCAAATATGGGGGTTCCTCATTCTATGATTACCACAAATCAGTGTCGGCCAAGAAAGCAACTAATCTGGCCCAATTTAACATCAGGATAGATTGGTGCCAGATGGACACGGAGTTGTTCTGCCGACACTTTTCTGGATTGAGGCCCCCGTCCTGCGCTGCTTGTAGTTCTACGTCTCATTCCACAGATTTGTGCCCCTGTGAGGCAGACCCTTCCTCTTCCCACCACTCCTTCAGCTCACACACTTGTCAAGAAAGCAGGCAGAGGGACAAGTTGGGCAGACCCATTGTGTTTTTGGGCAAGGCGCAGGTGTGCAACAATTTTAATGCTGGCGTCTGGGCTAATTCTCCCATACATGTAGCTGGCAATACCCTAGATCTTATTTTTGCAAATGCACACTCAGTCTCCAATCTCTGTAATACTCCATTTCCTCTATCAGACCACCACCTTCTATCATTTGTTCTCGCGTTCCCTCCACACCCAATACCCTTAACCTAACCCTCCCCCTCCCCCCCTGCAACTCAGGAGGGGAATTCTCTTGACCTCCAGCAACTCTCAGCTGATCTCCATTCCAAACTCTCATCCATCCCTGCCTTTTCATGTCACTCTCTGGCAACATCCTCATATAATGCTACCCTCACCTCTGCCCTTGACGCTGAAGCCCCTCTCCAAGCACTCTCCTCAAGGAGGGCATGCATCCAACTGTGGCACACTAAGTCAACCCGCTACCTGCAGAGATGCTCCCATTCAGCTGAATGCTACTTAAGGAAGTCTCGAACCTTGTCAGACTTTCTATACTAGTGGTTCGCAAACCTTTTAGATTCAAAGCACCCTTAATATTTCAATATTTGTCCATTACGTTCTAGTGGTTATGGTGCCAGTAGTGCCCTCCCAGGTCAAGTAGTCAAACTGTTTAAGAACAGTTTGACAACTTATCTGGGGTCTTCCGGTATAGGGGCTGTAGTGTGTGTGTGTGTGTGTGTGTCTGTGTACAGGGGTGGATTGTGTTTGTGTGTGTGTGTGCGTGTGTATGGGGGTAATTGTGTGGGGGGGGGGGTAGAAGGGCAAAATATTATTTTTATATCTATATATATATATACAAAACAAAGCAGGCTGCACTCACGGACTTTCAAACTTCAAGTGTAATTTTATTCCATCCAAGAAACAAAAACGATCAACGTTTCGGCCCACGCAGGGGCCTTCATCAGGATCAAACAGTACAAATACAATCTATAACTACCTCAAATATATACCTAATAGCATTAATCATGAGTAACTTACCCCAGGTGATGAAACTATATATATATATATAATCTCAAAAAGGAAAGAGATGCATATCCAGCGTGGGATTGCACCAAGGCAGTCTTTTACTGATTCATTGAAAGGGTGAGTGCCACTATACGTGTGTAATAGTAATAGTAATATTTATTTTTTAAGTTAAAAATAAAAATGATGTCCCCCCCTCCCTGCTTACCTTTGCCTGGGTGGGGGGACATTTCCTGCAATCCCTGGTGGTGACTGTGACCTCTAGCAGCCTCAGCAGCTGCTAGAGTTCACTCTCATGAGATTCTGAGCATTGCCTTAGTAAGCGTGAAAACTCTGAGCTCGCGAGAGGAGAACCCGGCGGAGCTGCAGATTAGAGCTCCCCGGGTCCTCTCTCCCTCCCTGCCGGCTGTCAGCAAAGTGCTAGCGGGCCAAAGAGCCGGCAAGGGAGAGGGAGGCACATTTCCCAATGCTATAATCATAGCACCGGGAAAATAACTTGCGGCTCCCCTGTGTTCTACATTATAAATTTGTCTTGCACTCATACAGTGCAGCCCTCACTCTTGCTAAACAGTCCTACTTTTCTTTTCTCATTAATTCATGCTCCTCCAATCCTAGGCATCTCTTTAAAACTTTTAACTCTACTCTTCACCCTGCTGTAGCCACCCCACAAACAAATCTTTCAGCTGATAGTTTTGCACCTTACTTTACTGACAAGATTAAACTGTTAAGGAATGAATTCTCCCCTCTCTATCTCAACCTCACTTGAACCATACCATCCCTACCCTCCAAGACTTCCCTCCAGCTACTCAACAGGAGGTATTTGCACTTCTCCTCTCCTCTCGTCCCACCAGCTGTCCGCTTGATCCAGTCCCTTCCCACCTCATCAGCGCTCTCACCCCTTGTCTTGCACCATTCTTAACACACATCCTAAACTGCTCTCTTTTATCTGGTGTTGTCCCTGCTCCCCTTAAGCATGCTACTGTTGTACCCATCCTAAAAAAGTCATCCCTGGACCCATCTTCCATTTCTAACTATCCCTATATCCTTGCTTCCTTTTTCCTCAGAGCTTCTCAAAAGACTTGTTTTTAATCGTACGACTCACTTCCTAAATTCCAACTCCCTCTTCAATCTGGCTTACACCCCCTCCACTCTACTGAGACAGCTCTTATTAAAGTTACAAATGACCTAATCGCAGCCAAATCTAAAGGCCCCTACTCCATACTAATTCTTCTTGACCTCTCTGCTGCCTTTGACACTGTTGATCATGGCCTCCTTCTCCTAACTCTTCAATCTCCTCTGTGACACAGCTCTCTCGTGGTTCTCCTCCTATCTCACCCAACGCTCCTTTAGTGTCTCTTTTTCCAACAGCACCTCCTCTCCTCGTCCTGAGTCAGTCAGAGTCCCTCAAGGTTCATTTCTTGGTCCCCTTTTGTTCTCTCTCTATAATGCCTCTCTTGTCAAGCTAATTAATTCATTTGGATTCCACTACCACCTGTACTCTGACAACACCCAGATATCTCTCTCCTCCACTAACCTCTCCCCTGCTGTCCTACAACGTGTCACCAATTGCCTTTCTTCTATCTCTGATTGGATGTCCTCCTGCTTTCTAAACTTAATCTCTCTAAAACTGAGTTTCTTATTTTTCCTCCTCATAACACTGATCCTCCTCCTTCACTCTCTGCAGGTTGATGGTACATGCCTCACCCCATCCTTTCAAGCTCGCTGTCTTGGTGTCACTGTTGATCCTGGCCTCACCTTTGCGCCTCATGTCCAGTCTGCTGCTAAAAACTGTTGATTCCAACTTAAAACCATTGCCCGCATACCCCCCTTTCTTACGCGAGATGCTGCCAAGGAGCTTGTTTCATGTTCTAGTAATGTCTTGCATCAATTACTGTTATTCTCTCCTAGTTGGTCTCCCCAGAAGCCATACTTCCCCCCCCTACAATCTGTGGTGAATGCTGCTGCCAGTCTGATCTTCCTATCCTGTCGCTCCTCACCCCTGTCGATCCTTACACTGGCTTCCTGTCCCCTACAGGTGTCAATTTAAAATACCTACCTATAAAGCTCTAACCAACTCTAGCCCCTCTTAAATTTCTTTACTGATTCATAGGTATGCCTCCTTTTGGTCTCTCTGCTCTACTGGTGATCTTCTCCTTTCTGCTGCTTGCACCCTTACTGCAAATTCACGTCTCCAAGACTTCTCACAAGTGGCTCCTTTCCTTTGGAACAGCCTGCTTACCCCTATCAGACTCTCCCCTAGTCTTTAATCCCTTAAGAGGTCCCTCAAAACCCATCTTTTTTAGGAATGTTTATGGCCACCAAGAGTAACTTCTATCTCTCAAACCTTCCTCTCGCTCTCTCCTATAGGGCCACACACACTCCACTCTCACCTCCGGCTCTGCTGCTTTTCCACCATGTCTATTTGGTGTCTCTCTCAATACCCTTCCTATTGTATTTTTATACCCCACCTCCCTTTAGACTGTAAGCTCGTTTGAGCAGGGTCCTCAACCTATTGTTCCTGTTACATTTTGTTATTGTCTCATTTGGTAAATTCCCCTTTTATTGTAAAACGCTGTGGAATAAGCTCGTGCTATTTTAATAATATTAACTACAATTTATAAAAGTGCTGATTTCTACTTTAAATCGGCACTTTTGTAAATAATTGTAGTAGGGATGCACCGAATTTTCGGCCGAAAATGGGCCTATCCCATTTCGGCACAGAGACTCTTTCAAAGAGAGCCGAAAGAGTGGGAGGAGCTTCTGCATCGTCACGTGACTCGAGCGCACCAGATCCAGAGCTGCTTTGGCGTGAGCCAGCAGGGTTGAAGGCTGTGCAGAGGGTACGGTCAGGAGAATCCAGTGTCTATGGCACCAGCCAGCACCATGCCAGTGGAATAGTTAGACACCGGCAACGGTGAGTGGAACAGGAAGCACTCTAGCTGCTGTGAACAACACTTCCTATGGTGCTCAGTCACAGATCACTTCTTTGGGTGGCTGATCATGATGGTTAGCGCAGTCCTATAAAGATTTGCTAGGAATGGCAGTCCTCTATAGCAGCCAGCACACACACACACATAGTAACACACTCACTAACAGACACACGCATACACTCTGGCTAACACACACACACATAGTAACACACTCACTAACAAACATACACTCATTAACAGACACACACTCAATTTTTTATTTTTTTTGTATTTTTTTTATTCAACCCCCCCAGCCTCCTTACCTTTGGGAATGCTGGGGGAGGGGGGGGTTTCTCCCTTTCCCTGGGGTCCAGTGGCTGCTGGGCGGGCGGCACTGGCAGAGTGACGTCATATTCCGGCTCCCGGCATCGCTCTGTCTTGTTAGCCCTGCGGATAACTGACAAGCCAGGTGGGCGGCGCTGACGAGGGAGCACTTTCCCCTGAGCTCTCTGCTGAGCTCCCTCGTCAGCGCCGCCCACCTGGCTTGTCAGTTATCCGCAGGGCTAACAAGAAATTTGCCCTGGGCATTTGGGGGCGGCTTTTTTTGCCGCCCAAGGCAAATGGCTTGTCTGCCTCGTGGCTAATACGTCCCTGCTGTAGACAGAGCATGTGCCATGTATAATGAATGAGAAATGCATTTTGTTTAATTACTTGTGGCAGGGCAGTAATAACACATGCCTGTTGCATTTTCTAATAGATTTTCATGTTATGTGCATAAAACGTGTGACTATTGAGGGAGTTTTGTATTTAATTGTAAAGTGACATTATATACAGTTTGACATGTGCTCTTATTGCAATCAATAATTTGCAATTTATACCCTTATAACTTTTTATGCTAAACTCATAAGTATATTATTACTGTTATCTTTTTATTTTGTTATAAAATAATTCAATTAAAAGTCTAATATTAATAAAATTATAGGAAAAAAAACTCTTTTAAAATCATTAGGGGGAAAGTCATTTTTGTTTTCGGCCAAGGGCATCCTGAATTTTCGGTTTGGCCCAGAATTTTCATTTCGGTGCATCCCTAAATTGCAGAAACGCCTCCTATCCTCTCAATTGAACAGGGAGGAGTTAATCTTATGGCTTCTCCTGCTAGCTTCATCCACAAGTCATAGTGTGTCTCTGCACCAGGCTCATTTTACCGGTGCATCCCTGGCTATTTCCTGCATCTTTCCTATCTGTAGGGGTTATGGTGCCCCGATTGCCTTAGCACCTTCCCACCTCCACTATCTGTGTTAGAATTTCCAAAGCCGAACTTCTGTTGGTTCTCCTGAGCTAAGCCCTGCACTACCGTGAACTGTAGTGGTTATCGTACTTAAAGGGATTCTCTATTTTTTTTTAGAAAATATAAGATAGATATGGAAAGGAGTGAATTTTCATTTTAAAACGAAACTTTTGCCCTATCCTCTCAATCGTCAACAGTAGGAGACGGTTATGCTGGCTTCTCCTGCTAGCTTCATCCACAAGTCATAGTGTGTCTCTGCACCAGGCTCATTTTACCGGTGCATCCCTGGCTATTTCCTGCATCTTTCCTATCTGTAGGGGTTATGGTGCCCCGATTGCCTTAGCACCTTCCCACCTCCACTATCTGTGTTAGAATTTCCAAAGCCGAACTTCTGTTGGTTCTCCTGAGCTAAGCCCTGCACTACCGTGAACTGTAGTGGTTATCGTACTTAAAGGGATTCTCTATTTTTTTTTAGAAAATATAAGATAGATATGGAAAGGAGTGAATTTTCATTTTAAAACGAAACTTTTGCCAAATTTGTCAGACTACAGAATCGTCACACATAAGTAAATGACGGTCAAAGGTAAACTTATCAGCAGTGGCAAGACTACCACCGCTGCTGCTGCACCAGGGCCTGCTTTCTGGGGGAGGCATTGGGTGTAATATATTATGAAATAATTAAAGTATTTTATTAATGTATTATACATATGTAATTTCATTATAAGTGTATTTTGATATAGATGCATATACAGTATCTCACAAAAGTGAGTACACCCCACACATTTTGTAAATATTTTATTATATCTTTTCATGTGTAACAGTGTAAATTTGCTGTCCCCTCAAAATAACTCAACACACAGCCATTAATGTCTAAACCGTTAGCAACAAACGTGAGTACACCTCTAAGTGGAAATGTCCTAAGTATGCCCAATTAGCCATTTTTCCTCCCCAGTGTCATGTGACTTTTTGGTGTTACAAGGTCTCAGGTGTGAATGGGGAGCAAGTTGCTCTCACACTCTCTCATACTGGTCACTGGAAGTTCAACATGGCACCTCATGGCAAAGAACTCTCTAAGGATCTGAAAAAAAGAATTGTTGCTCTACATAAAGATGGCCTTGGCTACAAGAAGTTTGTCAAGACCCTGAAACGGAGCTGAGACCATACAGCAGTTTCACAGGACAGGTACCACTCAGAACTGGCCTTGCCATGGTCAACCAAAGAAGGTGAGTGCACGTGCCCAGCGTCATGTCTTTGGGAAGTAGATGTATGAATGCTGCCAGCAGAGGTTGAAGGGGGGGGGGGAAGGTCAGCCTGTCAGTGCTCAGACCATACGCCGTACACTGCATCAAATTGGTCTGCATGGTTGACATCCCAGAAGGAAGTATCTTCTAAAGATGATGCACAAGAAAGCATGCAAACAGTTTGCTGAAGACAAGCAGACTAAGGACATGTGTATGTATATATAATGGAAGTGCAGTAACAATGAAATCATATGTATTATAAAATGCTTTAATTACTTTATAATACCAATATAATATATGTATAATGTATTTGTTTGATGCCTTGATTCTAACTTTGAAACTTTTTTAGGAGTCTGGGGAACTGCCTGATGGCACAGGCAGTCCCCCTGCAAGCAGAGGACGGCAGGACGTGCTATGCCGCCCTCCGGCTTTTGGGCCCATACTTTTAAGGCCGGCATAACACGCCCGCCGTCCTTTAGGAGTTAAGACCATGACCGGGCCCCTGTAATAACAGTGCTGGGAGGACGTGACAGTCAGTCACTTCCTCCCAGCTATAAGGGGAGAGTGCGGCTAGGAAGGAGGAGGCGGTGGCACAAGCAGCAGCAGTGGGGAGAGAGGCTGGAGGGCCGCTGCCTCCACACACTCGCTCCCCTCATAAAGCAGCAGGAAACAAACCACCCTCCTGCAAACCAAAGGTATGCTAACAGGTGGGTGGCTGTAAATATAAGAAATATGACATTTCCATGTGTGTGTGTCACATTGTGTGTGTGTGTTTGTGTGCATCTGTGATTCCAGGTATGTATATATCACTGTGTAGATATGTCAGGTTGTGCATCTGTTTGTGTGTCAGTGTGTGCATCTGTGTATGTGTTTATATGACAATGTGTGTATCTGTTTCATGGTGTGTGTTTGTGTCAGTGTGTATGTGTTTATATGTGTGTTAATGTGTATGTATGTGCATACATCCAAACACACCGCTGTGTTCAAACTCCAAAATTAAATACACATACACTCCTTCACTCAAACACCAACACTACACAAAAGTGCATCTGCATTTAAAAGCCAATATTACATACAAACACAACCTTGCAATCAACCGCCAACATAACAACTTACAAGCACACCGCTGTATTAAAACACTAAAATACTATACAAACACCAACACTACACACAAAAGCACACGTGCATTTAAAAGCCAACACTACATACAAACACACCCCTGCAATCAAATGCAAAGACTACACACAAGTATACCACTGCAGTTAATGGCAACAGTACATACAAACATACATGCACCCATATACTCAATACAAAAACATGCTTACATTCAAGTGCACAAACACTGCTCACAAATACAACTCTGCAACAATGGGCAAATGGTAGATCCCCAGCTGGCATAGCATTGTTGGAGTTGTATTACAGGTGGGGATCTGCCTTTTTCAAACTCTTGCACTAGACGGGGTAAGGGGGGCAAAAAACGTTCTTGCACAAGGTCTCTCTCTACATTCGTTCCACCACTGCATATCAGGGTGTATTTAATTATAAGCCTTTTGATAGATTTTAAATATTTCATCACCTACTTGGCCAAAACTGCTCAAGTTTTTTGTATGTTTGTTTTTTGGTGCCTTTCAAATGCATGTTTCTTTTTCAATAAATATTGATATATTTTTCCACATACATGTTGATATGTAACCACGAGTTCCACATGCCGTGTGTGTGTGTGTGTGTGTGTGTGCAACTAGTTCACAGATGCCAGATGTGTATGTGTTATGCTTTATCTTCTAAGTCCAGATATACCCACATGTATAGCTTTTTTTGGCACGTTTTGAGAGGAATTTACATGGTCACATCTGATAAGTCCTAATGTTGACATGTCTCCTTGCATACATAACTATAACAAATAAGTAAAGCTTCTTTAATTTAAAAATATATCTAATTATTTTTTATGTATTCCTTTGAAATTGGCTTTACTAACAAGTGTCATATTTTGCCATGTGATTTGATAGCTATGTTTGGTTTATATTTCAATGTTGACTGTTTTTAATCAAATCTGCTAAAGATGGTTTTTATTTTATTTTTTTATTTTAAGGAACTGTCCTTTTGGATTTTTTCTATATGCCTCAAACTTTGCTTTATGTAATTTGCAAAAGATTTTATCTCTATGGTTGAAGGACAGCATGTTCCTGATCCAATTGTGTAATCCCTACTTCACAGAATGATTTTTATTTGCTGAGTCATGCTGCTTTGCATTTTTGATATTTGTAGTTGAGCATTTCGAACAAAAGTTTAACAACTAGGTTTTGTATGTGTATTTTTGTCAATTATTTTTGGTTTTTCTTCCTCTTAATACCCAAATTACTCTTTTTACACCTGGGAAATGAAAAGTGTGCTTTATAAAGATCATAATTTAATGTTTCGAAATTCTACTTCTAGCATTCCTATTTACAAGTACGTAAATAAATCCAGAATGCGTCCTGCACTATAACCTGATTTGGTGTATGTTGTTCTACTAATCAAAAGTAATCCTTCCTATTCAGTGAAATGAACAATTACGCCAGGTTTTATATTTTCTGATGTATGCTGATGGATTTATTACCTGATTACGTGTTGTATCAAATATCTCATTCTTTGCCAGCTGGGGATTTTATTGTGGACTCAGAATATTTATCCAATGTAAAGCCATCATTGTTCATAGTTCACCAAAACAATACCTGTAACTTAAAAACTCCACGCATCGTAATAAGTACAGTGTGCAGTGGAGTTCCCCATTGACCTCACAGACTAATGCGTAAAGCTATTTAAACAATTGGACATTACATGTCTACTGCCAGGTACTGACTCCTCCAACCCCTGCTTTCAAAATTTCCTGCAAGGTTAATCTACAGTATATACTCGAGTATAAGTCTAGTTTTTCAGCACATTTTTTGTGCTTAAAAACCCCCACTCGACTTATACTCGAGTCACTGTCTGTATTATGGCAACTTAGAGAGCCGCGGCCGTCAGAGCCATGGCAACGATCCGCGCGGCATCCTGACTGCGAGACTTACAGCGGAGCTGACCGTAACGGAGGAGAAGGGAGCTGACAGGAGCTGCAGGAAAGGTAAGTAAATGCTTCCTGCCGGCCCCCCCACTTCACAGCCCATGCCACTGGACACCCAGGGATTAAGATAGCCCTCCTCCCTGACCAGTTAACAAGCAGGGAGGGGGGACAAAATAAAATTAAAATAATAAAAAAATAATATTAAAATAAAAATAAAAAATGCCCTCCCCCCACCCCGTTCACACACACTACACAAACACACACTCTGCATTATATACACAGAGTGTGTGTATATAATGCAGTGTGTGTGTTTGTATGAGTGTGTGTTTGTATGAGTGTGTGTGTGTGTGTGTATATATAATGCAGAGTGTGTGTTTGTATGAGTGTGTGTATATAATTATAAAAATCACAGAATTTCATAGCCCCAAGTTTTACCCTCGACTTATCCATGAGGCATAGCATATTTCACAATTGTTGGTCACAAAACTGCACTCGACTTATACATGAGATCGACTTATACACGAGTATATACGGTAGTTGGTTTCACTGAGCTTAAGCATGGCTGTGCAGGACCACTCTTGTGAGTGAGTTTGGTCCTATATTGAGCTTACCTCGTTCTTTAAAGACATTCGGTGGGAAATAGTGGTTGTGGACACACATGCCAAGGTCACTCTGGTAAGCTGAAAAACGGTTCTAAGAAGTTAATAAGTTAAACTATTTAAAAAGTTAGACTTCTTAAAATGAGGGGGCACCAGGCTGTTTGAAGTGGTTCTTTAATTTTGACATGAAGGGTGGCATCTGATACCTCTTGGCATGCACAGGTGTGTGTGGTTTTTTTTTTGTTTTTTTGTTTTTACCGTCATTTTATTTGCTTCAAACACATGTGCACCAAGGTTCCATGCCTACTTGCATGTATATCTATACTTGAAAATGTTTCGTGAGTGATGGTTTCAATTTAAAATAGAAAATATTTCTAATTTTACTTTCTATTTTAGCATCCAGGTGGGGAGGAGGTTCTTCGGGAACAAGCTGGAGGAGATGCAACCGAGACCTTTGAAGACATTGGACACTCAACAGATGCCAGAAATATGTCTAAAGATTTTATTATAGGAGAACTTCATCCAGTAAGTATGTTTTAAATTGTCTGCAGTTAGTTTTGTAATCCTTCAACACATTTCAGTTACAATATAAATATCTTTAACCCCTTAAGGACACATGACATGTGACATGTCATTATTCCCTTTTATTCCAGAAGTTTGGTCCTTATGGGGTTAAAAGAACACTCTTACCACCATTACCACTACAATAATTTAATTGGTGGCAGTTTGGAAATGTGCTGCACACGTGCTTTAATCCTGTAAAAACTCTAGGACGTTCCATGCCATCCTAAAAATACTGGCCTTTAGCACACTTAGGACTGAATGGACGTCGTTTAGGTCGGGTGTGAGTTTAATATTTTAACACCTCAGTGGAATTTTTTTTTTTTTTGTGTATTTTCTTTGGTAATATATGGAAAAAACCTGTGTGGAAAAAGCTACCGAACTGCTTTTTGCATCCTTTGCCAAAACCCTTTTCTGTACATAGGCTTTTATTGAGAAACCTTTGTGCTGGAGCCATGAGCGTGCATGTAATTGTGGCTTTCCTATGCTTTTCAATGAACAGTAGTACAACTAATTGGAAAGGGAAAGGCATGCACATGCTAGCCCAGCACGTCTGTGGATTGCGTTACTAAAGTTTTGTAAAAGTCCTCGTTTGAATGGAAATCTTCACTTTTTATAAACTGTCACAAATACAATATGGCAGACTCCAGACGCAAGCTGAAATGCTTTGTGCCTGGATGATTTCCTTTAAAATGCACAATTAAAAGGACACTATAATTGCACGTGTTGAGTAACACATCTGAAAGTTTGTTACAACCAAAAAGAGGTGAAGTGCCAAACTGTTGCTCAAAGAGAAAATTAGCACTTTATGAAAGAAAAATTATGTGCAAAGTATTTTCACACCTGAATGTGGACAACTAGATAAAAATTACATTAATTTAGGTTAGTCCAAGTATTACGTGCAGTCTTAACACCCTTAATCTGCCACTACTTTCCAAAACAGCTGCATTTGAAAGTTGTCATGTATTTCCAAAAAACTTCAGAAATCCAACACATGCCCAACAGGCCCCCAGTCCTTCTCTATGAGTAACATTGGATTGGGCTAGAGATTGCCTGAACAGATAATCTCAGAAGAGTGGGAGTGGCTGTTTATAATCTAAACGCAAGGAACATGATTATTAAAAATAAATATTTATTTTTAATGTTAGAGTTCATTTAACCAACACACAAATTTCACCAATTGTATTTTTCAATTATTTCCTGTACTCATGTGAATCTATCTTCTTGATTCATAGGATGACCGATCAAAGCTCCAGAAACCAGCAGTAAGTTTGTTTTCTTTGGTTTTTATGTGCAGTTAAACATTTTATGCTTCACTTGACTTTTTTTCCTTTTCATTTTTATTGAGTAGTTCAGTGGATAAGCATACATGTGTACAATGGTAAGAGACTAGGAACAACACGTTTCAATGTTGTATGGCTTGCTTTTTCCTATATACAAGTATAGTAAGCAGTACAGAGTACAGTGAGATTGGAAACAGGGCACCAGTTGCTCAACCTCCTGGCCCAGCCTGTTTTAAATGGGAGATCGACCGACTCTCCTGTTCCTGATGCACACCAGACTGCAAGATGCCAGGATCTTCCTCGAGCCCGAGCTGACTACAGGCACTGCTTGTCGCTGGTAAGTGGGTCAACCCCAGGTTAGGGTACCTTCTGTACTGATTTAGCTTGCTTTATGGTCCAGTAGTGGCCCCAAGAATCACAATTTGGCCTGTATAGACCCAGAGCTCTCGTGGCACACGTCCTGCAGGCATGACAGGCCCCGCCCCATATGTCAAAGTTTTTGAGCCGTTTGACACTGTACTGCAGATGTACACATAGAGGGATAGCAAAATAACAGAAGAGAGAGACACAAACTAATGAACCCCATTTGATATATGCCTTAATAGAGCCTTAAAAAGACATTATGGTCACCCAGGCAACTAAGCTTAATGTAGTTGTTCTGGTGTCTACAGCTTGTCCCTGCAGGCATTTTATTGTAAACCCTCCCTTGTCAGAGAAAATGCATTGTTGATATTACTGCCTAGGCCCTAGGGACACCTGTCGTGGCAGTCACTCAGACGGCCACTAGAAGTGTTTCCTGGTTCAGTGATGCACAGTGTGCAGCAATGATGTTCAGGGTGCTGATTGGCGCAGCCAGTGTTTTGCTACACACGCACAATAGCCTCCTAATGCTTTCCTATGGGAAAGCATTGGATTCTCTGAGATTGTCAAATTTGATGACTTCAGCCAAGAAGGCGGAGCAGGGCAGACCAGTGCAGCTCTGGAAGAAAAGTAGGTAATCTCACTTTTTTTAAGGGAGGCAAGGGGGGCTATTAGTATTCCTGACACTATAGTATTAATTTAAGGACCAGCCATCCGTTAATTTTAATATCTGGATTAGAATGACATCCATAAACTATTTGATCTTCTGTCTTATGATGCCTCTTCTGTCATTCTCCTTTAATGCATTGTTCACTTTTATGTGTCTTATGTGTAACATGTACGTGTGTTTTTATGTATAATCTCATTCTATTAAACAATGATGTTCCTTAAAACCGGTGCAGATAGTTTATTTTATTGCTAGTAAATGCTTGTCTTTTAGAAACATACTGTCAGTTAAGTGACAGATATTGGTTAAGTGAAAGTTTACATAAAGTACCAGTTTATGATTCACTAACAAATTGAGTTGTTATAGACGTCCCTGTCTCATGCAGAATCGGGCAGCGCTTACGCTGAAGGTTCTGAGATCAGCCCATGAATCCCAATTCATAAAATTGGCTTGAAATGAAACGTACCTTTTTTAAAGCCAGTGTTATGAATGGAGATTTACTGAGCCGCTGCCCGATTCTTATGGTTTAGAGATTTTTGGAAAACAGTTAAGCCCCTTAAGGTGAGCCAGCGCCCAAGACCTCCTGACACAATCCCAACTTTATTTCGATTAGTTTAAAACTCTGGGCACCATGATAACAATATGGCCATTGTCTTCTAATACAATTACAATGGACACTAATCACTAATGTTTTTCTAGTTACCTATTTCAGGAGACCTGTCTTCTTGTTATGTTTCCTGTTACCATATTTAAAAAAATTAATTAATTAATTTAAAAAAAATAATAATTATGTCTGTATACCAAAAAACAAAAAAGTGCGCTGTACCTTTAAGACCATCAAACAATACAAGTGAATAACTTTTACATAAATATTAATTTCCAAAATTGTATAGAGTGCACTGTGCTTAAACACACTACAAACCTGTTGCTAATTGATATAAATACCACATACCTGTGTAATAGCATAAATAAATTGTGCCAATACAAAAGTGTTAAAGTGCACTAGTGACAAAAACACATAAGTGCAAAGTAAGGATAAAATTATTTGAAAGATTACCTTACTTTTAAAAGTTTTGAAATTTCTTCTGTTAAAACTTCAGTGAAATGCTCAAAAAGAATAAAACAGAACAAAAACTCATAGGGCAATATGCATAAAACATAACTATTGAAAATATAGATCGAAAACACTCACAAGAGTAGAGCAATTACGTCTGCTCTGAACTGTGTTGGCATCTCAGTATACAGAGGCTTGAGGCTGTGATGGCAGTAAAAATCCTTTATTTGACACTCCAAACATTAAAAGCAGTTGTCTGGCTATAAGTCCTCTTTCTGTACCTCTTCCTCGCAAATGTGGTATAGTCCCAAACAATTTCATCGGTCCTTTTCAGGCTTCAAAAGCTCTAAGGGCTACTTCCACTCACACTTGTTCCGGTAGGCGGGGCTTACGGCCATTGGACGTAGTGACTTCAGAGCGTGATGACGCGTTTCGCCGACGTGCTCGGCTTCATCATATCCGCCCACTAGTCCATCACAGTCTCAATATAAAGCATTTACAAAGGGCGTGTTTACCCAAAAGAGTCCGAAAGTTCTGTCCTATGATTGGTTATCTTGACCAGCATATTAGCATACATTAGATATGCCAAACTTTTTTTTTTTATATATATTTTTTTTTTTTTTATACTCGAACTGAAACAAGGGGATTATTCACTAAATGTTTACAAAAAATATTATTTATTTACACGTACAACTTATCATTACACTTCTTTGGATATATATTAATCCAGTTAAATAGAATAAAATAATATAAATTACAATACATGAAAACATTTACTTGTTTGTGTGATTTGCTAAAAAAAAAAAAATATATGTATATATTGTTCTCAACAGTACCTACTTTAATAGAGGAAGAAAGGAATAAAATTAGTACATTACATAATACCATATTTCTGAATCACATCTAAAATGCTAAATTACATATTATAAACTAAAATGAAATATGCAACATGCAAAAGTGCTCTCCTATTGTGAAAATAATATGCAGGAAATAAAATATGTTTATAGAAAAACAAATATTAAAATTAGGAAGAGATGAAAAGGAGGGGATAAGAGTCACCATATTTTTTCATCAACACTTACAAAATTGTATTTTCTGAATAATATATGAATGAGTTTGTAAATATTCAATCAAATTATTGTATTGAGAATTCCATAAAAAATCCTTATAAAAAAAAAAAAAAGTTTTTTAAAAAGGTCGAATTCTATATTAAGACCTCGTGGTTCTAGGGTTTTCAATTTATAAACCCACATCATTTCCTCTCTTGCAATTTTAGAAATATGATCTCCACCCCTACATGATTTCTTCACTACCTGAATTCCTAAAAAGATTAAGCCCTTCGGATCCATATTATGCTTTGCCTTAAAATGGGCCGAGACACTATGGTGAGTGACTCCCCTCAAAATGTTATTTATATGCTCTCCTATTCTTTTATGGAGTGGCCGTATAGTGCGGCCCACATATTGTAGTCCACATGGGCAAATTAGCAGGTATATTTCATTTCTCGTAAAACAAGTAATAAAATCTTTAATATCAAATTCATTATCATTGTGCTTGCTTTTAAACTTGTTTATACCTTTTAAGGGTCCAATTTTTGCTTTATTTGCATCCTGTGCACTGACCGCAGGAGTAGAAACCTTTTCTGACATTCATAAAATGTTTTTGTATGTTTTCGGATATTTGTGTGTTAAAATTAGGAGCACCCCTAAAAGTTATAAAAGGTTTAGATGGTAAAATATTAGCCAATTCAGGATCCTCTTTAAGTAAATACCAATGTTTATTAACTATCTTTCTTATATCTTTATGTGCTATATTAAAATCAAACACTAGTGGTACATTGTTAAGATTTTTGTTTTCAACATTCAAGAATTCTTTTCTTTCAATAAGTTCATTTTGCGTGAGTTGGACCGTATCTTCATATGCATCAGAAACTAAATGCTCAGGGTAATTTTTATCTAGAAACTGCCCTTTTAAATCTTGTGCCTGAGGTAGTTCCACAATTGCGGTGCTCTGTAGGAGAAGGAGGATCGGGCCGTTTTCTTTTTGAATTGAGGTAGACTAAGTAAAGTGTTGGTACTGGATCGGAGCTTATAGGAAGTGGGAACAGCTGGGGAAAGCATTTTGTTCAGGTAGGGTGGGAGTTTCCCAGAAAAGCTCTTAAACACAAGGCTGGAAAGATGAACTAAATGCCCAGGGTAATTTTTATCTAAAAACCACCCTTTTAAAACTTGTGCCTGTTGCTTAAAAATATCCGTAACAGTGCAGTTTCATCTTATGTGTCTGAATTGGCCCTTAGGAATGTTATTCAACCATGGATTATAGTGTCCACTATTATACAGTACGTAATTGTTGGCATCAACTGTTTTAAAAAAAAATTGTTTTTTATCTCCATTTTTTATATATATATATATATATATATATAATATATATATACCTACCCAAATCTAAAAACTCTATACGTCGTACTGTAGGTACTAGTTAGTTTTATGCCCCACTCATTGGTATTAAGACTATTTAAAAACTTATCTAAATCCTCACGATTTCCGTTCCATATAAAAATCAGATCATCTATATATCTACGGTATAGGACCAAATTTGCCCCCCATTCCGCATTATCATATATGAATTCATTTTCTGAACCTGCCATATACAGATTGGCGTAACTGGGGGCAAACTTGGCCCCCATAGCCGTACCTTGTAACTGTAAATAATATTTATTATTAAAAAGAAAATAATTATTTAAAATCCAGGTTATGCATTCTATTATAAAATCAATACTTTGCTGGGACATTTTTTTTTTTTTGGAATCTTCCAAACATCTCCGTATAACCTGACTCCCTAGACCATGTGGTATTGAGGTATACAATGAGGATACATCACTAGTTAACACTATGAAGTCCTTTTCCCATTTGGTAGTTCTTAATATCCTCCCGCACAATTTAAAATCATCCCTAAGCCTAAAGTCCTTTAAGAGATCCCTCTCTACATACCTCAAAACAGAATGCACCTGTCATGGGTGATTATATATGTCCTACCTGTTCTATGTTAAATTTTGTATTTATTGTGTATTAATATTGTTTTTGTATTTTATTGTACCCTAATGTAACAATGCAATGATTTGTGGACCCAGGACATACTTGAAAACGAGAGAAATCTCAATGTATCTTTCCTGGTAAAATATTTTATAAATAAATAAATATGAAGATACGGTCCAACTCACGCAAAATTAACTTATTGAAAGAAAAGAATTATTGAATGTTGAAAACAAAAAATCTTAACAATGTACCACTAGTGTTTGATTTTAATATAGCACATAAATATATAAGAAAGATGGTTAATAAACATTGGTATTTACTTAAAGAGGATCCTGAATTTGCTAAAATTTTACCATGTAAACCTTTTATAACTTTTAGGGGTGCTCCTAATTTTAACCTTATTTTAACACACAAATATCCGTAAAGAAACCTACAAAAACATTTTATCAATGTCATAAAAGGTTTCTACTCCTGCGGTCAGTGCACAGGATGCAAATACAGCAAAATAGGACCCTTAAAGCTATAAACAAGTTTAAAAGCAAGCACAATGATAATGAATTTGATATTAAAGATTTTATTACTTGTTTTACGAGAAATGTAATATACATGCTAATTTGCCCATGTGGACTACAATATGTGTCTCGGCCCATTTTAAAGCAAAGCATAATATGGATCCAAAAGGCTTTGAATCTTTTTAGGAATTCAGGTAGTGAAGAAATCATGTAGGTGTGAAGCTCATATTTCTAAAATTGGAAGAGAGGAAATGATGTGGGTTCATAAATTGAAAACCCTAGAACCACGAGGTCTTAATATAGAATTTGACCTTTTTAACTTTTTATAAACATTTTTTTTTTTTTTTTTTTAAAGGATTTTTTTATGGAATTCTCAATACAATAATTTGATTTGAATATTTACAAACTCATTCATATATTATTCAGAAAATTCAATTTTGTAAGTGTTGATGAAAAAATAAGGTGACTCTTTTATCCCCTCCTTTTCATCTCTTCCTAATTTTAATATTTGTTTTTCTAATATATTTTATTTTCTGCATATTATTTTCCGGAATTATTTTATAATGGGAGAGCACTTTTGCATGTTGCATATTTCATTTTAGTTTATAATATGTAATTTAGCATTTTAGATGTGATTCAGAAATATGGTATTATGTAATGTACTAATTTTATTCCTTTCTTCCTCTATTAAAGTAGGTACTGTTTAGAACAATAGCAAATCACACAAACAAGTAAATGTTTTCATGTATTGTAATTTATATTATTTTATTCTATTTAACTGGATTAAATCCAAAGTAGTGTAATGATAAGTTGTACGTGTAAATAAATAATATTTTTTGTAAACATTGTAAATAATCCCCTTGTTTCAGTTCGAGGAAAAAAAGAAAAAAAGTTTGGCATCTATAATGTAAATATAGAATGTGACGGCAGATAAGAACCATTCGGCACATCTAGTCTGCCCAATTTTCGAAATAATTTCATTAGTCCCTAGCCATATCTTATAGTTAGGATAGCCTTATGCCTATCCCACGCATGCTTAAACTACTTTACTGTGTTAACCTCTACCACTTCAGCTGGAAGGCTATTCCATGCATCCACTACTCTGTCAGTAAAGTAATACTTCCTGATATTTTTAAACCTCTAATTTAAGACTGTCCTCTTGTGGTAGTTTTTCTTCTTTTAAATATAGTCTCCTCCTTTACTGTGTTGTATGCTAATATGCTGGTCAAGATAACCAATCATAGGATAGAACTTTCGGACTCTTTTGGGTAAACACGCCCTTTATAAATGCTTTATATTGAGACTGTGATGGACTAGTGGGCGGATATGATGAAGCCGGGCACGTCGGCGAAACACGTCATCACGCTCTGACGTCATTAAGCCAATGGCCGTAAGCCCCACCTCCCGGAACAAGTGTGAGTGGAAGTAGCCCTTAGAGCTTCTGGAGCCTGAAAAGGACCGATGAAATTGTTTGGGACTATACCACATTTGCGAGGTACAGAAAGAGGACTTATAGCCAGACAACTGCTTTTAATGTTTGGAGTGTCAAATAAAGGATTTTTACTGCCATCACAGCCTCAAGCCTCTGTATACTGAGATGCCAACACAGTTCAGAGCAGACGTAATTGCTCTACTCTTGTGAGTGTTTTCGATCTATATTTTCAATAGTTATGTTTTATGCATATTGCCCTATGAGTTTTTGTTCTGTTTTTTTCTTTTTGAGCATTTCACTGAAATTTCAAAACTTTTAAAAGTAAGGTAATCTTTCAAATAATTTTAATCTTACTTTGCACTTATGTGTTTTTGTCAAGAGTGCACTTTAACACTTTTGTATTGGCACAATTTATTTATGCTATTACACATGTATGTGGTATTTATATCACTTAGCAACTGGTTTGTAGTGTGTTTAAGCACAGTGCACTCTATACAATTTTGGAAATTAATATTTATGTGAAAGTTATTAACTTGTATTGTTTGGTCTTAAAGGCATAGCGCACTTTATTTTTGATTTTTGTAACTTATGTGAGAGGTGCTGCTTTAGATTTGTATTATAACTGTGTATATTAGTTTTAGCGCCATTTTTACTTGTTTTTTGGTATGTCTGTATACCAGCATGTTGGCTTTCTTGATTCCTGGAATAGGGTTTGGAGTGTGGGGATACATTTAATGTGTTGCCATTAGATGACCACTTACCATCATTGTCTAGGTGTAATCCTAGTGAAACTCATATACAGGCTGTATTTTTATGATCACAAAAGGCAGAGTAGTGCACATGGAAGAAAAATTATGAAGAACAGCTTAAAACCAGGTTAACTGAATGCACTTGCATACCAAGAAGTTTAGAAAACAATGGAATTATGGCCACTTTATATATTTTCTCAGCAAATCGTGCTTTAACATTTAAAACCATGCTTATTTAAAAAAATAAAAAATAAATCTCACACAATCTCTGTGTCAACTCAGTTAGCCCGAGACCGGGTTGCATTCTGGTAAATCAAACAATGAATGAACTTTAATACTAAAGTCCAGAATGACATCAGCACTTTTTCATGAAGTTTTTGCTTGTCCATTCTGCCCGGTGCATTTTGTCACGTCCAGTTTAGTGTATTCTGAATAAACACTTCCTAATCCCTATTGAAGAATAATGGAGAGACTATACTTATTATAGAAGCCCCAGGTGTGTGCTACTCTACCCACTTGCAGTTGATGTATGGCTTGTTTCTCATAAGAACAAATAAGATATTGCTTGAATCCATTCCTTCAGACATGGGAATCTGCTGATCATTATACACTGTGGCTAGATATCAATTCCTTACTTTCCTAGAATAAAGACAGTATGCTAATTAGAGTAGACAATCCTTGGAGCAATGTTTACTGTTTGAAAGCAAATTTTATTTAATAGAGTTATATTTATCAGTGTAGTTATGCTTTTATTAACGTATGTTTCATATTTGTATATCAATGTTTTTCAGGACACATTTATTACTACTGCGGAGTCTGATTCCAGGTATGTATTGATTTCCTAGTGTTGGTTGGACAGATGCATACTGATCTAAATGTGTAATTTCCACATGGTAAGTTCAGTTACAGAGTCGGTGGGACGTTTTTAACTATAATTTATTTATCTTCTTGTCAAACAACTCCAAAATGGCAAAACAAATTATAGCAAAAAAACTTGGGAGCAGTGCCATTATGTCTGTATATCATTTTCACTACAGTAAATACAATAAATTGTCATTGGTATGGTTCTTAAAATGCTCTTTAGTTGTTCTTTTCAACTAGCATTGACTTTTAAAGGGACACCCCAGGCACCAATAGTACTTTATGGCATTTTATAGTTTTTGACCTCCATTAATTTGCTGTATTTTTTGCTTTCTCAAATCTTTACAGATTTTTGTAAAATAAAGAAATGTTTTGCAGAATGCTGCACCATAAGCCCACATCTTTACCACACCCCCTCACACACAAAAGTTCCTTATCAATGTATGCACACAGTTAAGCCTCTTACAGTACTGATTGACCTGAACAATAAAACCACCTGCATTAGTAGGAGAGCACAGCCAGGGAGGCACATAGTAAAGAAATCACTACCGGTATGTAGTTTCTCTGACTCTGCAGCCAGGTTGTGAATTAAAATCTGCTCACTCAGTGCTGTTGGAGCTGAGACTTTGTGCATACATTTGATAAAGAAGTCTTTCTGGCTTGAGGGAGATGGATAAGGAGGCAGGGTTCTGGTTTCAGAATTCTTAAAAACTTTTTTTTTTTTTGTGTGCAATAACTATAAAGATTACAGCATGCAACAATACAACATATTAATACATTAAAATTGTATTGATGGCCAGAATGTCCGTTTAAGTATGTTACGAGTGATTTATATCTCCCCGTCTGATGCACCAATTGACTGTTGTTCATGTTATTCTAGTTGGTGGAGCAATTGGATTATTCCAGGTTTGTCTGCTGTCATTGTTGCCTTGATGTACCGTTTCTACATGGCAGAGGAATAAACTCTGTCCAACAGAAATCTAGGGAAGGAAATCGCAAAACTCTGGACCAGAAAGAACTTCCACGTTTTACAATGGCAAAATCCGTTTAGTACAAGAGCAATTACGTTGTGCCACAGAACTGTATCTTTTTACTGACTGATTCATCCACATCCCACTTCACCTTTCATTGAATTGAAATGGCAGTCTTGTCCTGTTATCAGCGTTTATTTTTTTTGGGGGGGGTTAATATACAGGAAATTGTTCAACACCACCAGCCTCAACTCGTCTATAAATACCACATATACGTGAATAAATTATGTAAAATATCTCAAAATATTGACATATTGGTAAGGTTCACATAGCTTGTCATCTAAAGATGTTATGATCTACTCTGTACTTCTAATTACATATAATTATGCTAGTAGGTAAACTCGTGTAGAATAAAATCCATATTCTATATATACATTTTTTTTTAACTTTGTGTTTCCTCTATACCAGAATATTTTCTTGTGGTAATAGTTGGTGCTGTTTTCATGTTATAATATCTACCCCAACCTATTAAAGATAATGATAATGATTGTGTTTTAATTGTTGTACATTAATGTTTTTACACTACTTATAACCTTCTAAATAACCCAGTGGATTTGTTACTTTTGTTCCAACACTAAATAAATTGAACACAATTATTTCAGATCATTAATCTACTTAATGAACCAGGATTTACAATTAAACAAAACCACTCGATTTGTTTTCCGTCCTCTTGAGCACTCTTCCTGATCTGTTTATATAAAAAAAAAAAAAAAGCCTTAAATGTGGAAACCAATTGTAAATGCAGAACTTGTACTTGTGATCTTATGACAATGATTTGTTAGTAATTTTATGATCTTTGGACTTGGAAAGTCACTTGCTCTATCTATATGCTGCATAAAAACTTGTAATCAAATATCTGACACACCTGATGAAATATGAGTTTAAGAAAAGACCTAGCATACCATGTCAACCATTTGATATGGTCTTAATAAAAAAATAAAAAAATAACCATTTTTATATTTGTGCACTGTTTTTCTTGGAAATGCGTTGAAAATTTGCAGACCTTCACGCTTTCATTTTATCCTTTACCCACTTATGCAACAGGTTGGTAAATGGAGAAATGTTTAGTTCCCCTTTATTTTTATGTAACTTGGGTTCACAAATACTCTAGCTTATATGTAATCTATATTATACAAGTTCCAGCGCACTCACTCATCCACTAAACATCAACTTCAAAGCTCCCAGATTTTATTCTTTTTTTTTTTTTTAAACACTTAATCTAGGCAATAATAATAGGGGTTTAGATACAGTATATGATCAGACATTGCATAAGCCTGCAACAACATCAATGTACCCCATCTTTTGCAGATCCTACTCGAACAACTTAATGTCTGCTCTTATGAGTTTAACCCACTTACTTGGGGAAAAAAATTCAATCTGGGGCTCTCTGCAGTAAAAGGTTAAATAAAGCCCTGGAAGAATGAGGCACCTGTGACAGGGAACAATGCAAAACTAAAGCTAAATTCGGTTGTGGTGTGACGAAACCAAATGTACGGGCAGGCCTGTAAATAAAGAGGGCCCACCTAGGTAGTATAGAATAGATGTGAATAAGTGGAGTGGTGGGTGGGGTGACCAAACGTCGTCGGCCTGGTATGGAGGTAAGTCTGAGTTTATATAGGCTGGATCACCCCCTCCCACAACTCCAGGCTCCGCCTTCCCATTTGTGGTCAGGGAAATTAGCAGAGTAAGTGTAGATTGTGTTATTAGCTAAATTCGGTTGTGGTGTGCCGAAACCGAATGTACAGGCAGGTCTGTAAATAAGGAGAGCAAAAAGTATGGGCCAAATAACTTTAATACGAAACAGTAAAATTCCATATTTTGGGTACTAAAAGGAACGCTTTACTTAGTTACATCTATAAATGCTTTCCTCATTTCTCTTTCTGGTTGAGGAATGTATCGGTTGAAAGTGGATGATTTCCAACGCCCCAGTTTTTTAATGACGTGTACTGGGACGTTCTGACTAGATGCGGCAGTAGCCGCACCTATACGGAAAGAATGACCGGTGAATGCTGATGGGTCATAACCTATTTTGGAAAACTGTTCACATGTAAACCATGAATTTGGATTTTGTCAGTGGGTTGCTGTGTAGGTTTAGTAGCGGGGCGTTCTCATCTTGTATTTTTATGCGTGGATATAGACTGTCAAATAATCGTACAGGGCACCATTTGTTACCTGTGGGGTATATCGGTATTTCGTCGGGAGGTCCTGTTTGATTGGTTTTGGAGTGTCATAGTGTCAAAACATAGACACATTATTGAGGTCTGCCATTGTCAGCATGTTGGTGGTATGAGTGGTTTGTATTGTGGTGAACTTGTTTGGTCTTAAGAACCCATAGAAGGCTAGATAAATAGCCATTTTTAATGTATTGTTCGTTTTGTTTTCAAATGGCAGTGTATCCAATGTATCGGTTAATGCATTGCGTCTATTGATTGACGTTTAGTGGGTTTTTGTACTTCGAGTCGTAAGATACCTTTTAAAACGTTTCTAATTGGATTAGTGGACATAAAAGTTCTGTGACTGGGATATGTGTTTGTGAGGTGATGTTGTATACCCGTGAGGTATAATTTTATTGTATTATGTGTCAGTTTTAGGTGTAAATGCCACCATGGTATGTAATGACCATGGGTTTATTCTGTGACGAACCTGTTGAAAATTGGACCGCCTGGTGTTTGCTGAGAGTGCTGACTGTGCTAGTAGTCTGCCGTGAGCCAGAAGTGCATTTAGTCCAGGATGAGGTCCTGGAACAATGGAGGGTTGTATGGGTTTGTCTCGGCCGTGGGATGTTCTTGACGGAACACCTGAAAGTTAGAGCGAGACAGGGCATCAGCTGCGGTGTTGTGGTGGCCCGGTATGTGCTCGCATGTGAGTTGAAAGTGTAGAGTGGCTGCCAACCACACTAGTCTCCTGACTAACCTCATGATGGTCAAAGTGGAGGATCTGCCTTTATTGATTATATTGCACGTAGTTGCGTTGTCAGTGTAGCATTTTATGGTTTGTCCCTTCCAAAGGTGTCCCCAGACTTTAGCAGCTGCCACTATAGGGTATACTTCAAAAAGGGTGGATGTGGAGTTAAACGAGGGTAACGAAGCTGTTTCGACTGGCCATGTGCTTCTAAACCAACTGTTGCCAAAAATAGCTGCGTACCCTGAGTGGGCTGCTGCCTCTGTCCACAACACTGGGGAAAACTCAGGTGGAAAGAACATATTTATACCATTCCACTGAGTCAAGAATTGTCTCCACATATAGAAGTCAGACCTAGCATGTTGGTCTAGAGTGACTATGCTGAGGTCGTTGGGTAGTTTGGTTAAGAGGCTGAGTAGGCCTAGATATAAAAGCCCATCCTTGTGGGATAATTCTCATAGCAAAGTTCAGAGAACCAAGTAGTGACTGTAGGTTTTTCCGGTTAGTAATACCTTTGTTGAGAAACAACTCTCTCTGTCCTGATTCTCTGAACTTTGTCTGCAGGGAGACTAGCTTGCATGGTGACGGAGTCTAGGCATATCCCCAGAAATTACAATCTGGTGACAGGTCCCACCGTTTTATCCAAGGCAACCGGCACTCATAGGGTTGAAAATAGTGCCACAGTTTTCGTAATGCTTAGTGGGACGGTCTCGTGTTTTTCTACAGTCATGAAGTCCTCTAGATAGTGGATGACGAATTGACAGCCACATATGTTTAACAACAGCCAGCATAGTGTTTCCGCGAACAAATTGAATAACATTTGGGCTGCTTTTTGCTCCATAAGTTAGTCGAACGGCAAAATAGTACAAGTCTTTCCATTTTATTCCGTGTAGATGCCACAGTGACTGGCGTATTGAGAACAGCTTGAAGGCATTGGAAATGTCTGTTTTTCCTAACCAGGCTGCTTCTCCTGCCTCCAATATCGCCTGTATTGCGTTTTCTACTGTGGCATACTGCAGGGAGAATTCGTCTGATGGTATGAGTGCGTTCAGGCTAGGTGTTACAACAGAATGAGGAGCCGATAGGTCTATGATCAAGCGTTTTTTATTGTTGTATTTCCCTGCGGCGATACCTATAGGATTGGTACGCCAGCAAGTGAACGGGGTCGTATGGAATGTCCCGATCATGAAGCCTTTCTGAATTTCGTTATGGGTGGTGGGATCTGATGTTGCTGACTGTAGGTTGTTACACTCAAGCGTACCTATGGGTAGTGCAATTAGCCCGGTGTGGAACCCTTTGGTGAAGCCCGTGATGAGGAAATTGACTAGGTGTGGAGATGGGTGAGTGACTAGGTAAAAGGCTAGTGTGTCAACCTGTACCCCTGAAAGACCGTGAACTCGCATCAAACTATAGGCCCATCTCCCTGATCAATTCGGACCTTAAAATATATGCAAAACTCCTGGCGGCTAGGTTGGCAGCGATGCTCACACACCTAATCCACCTGGACCAGGTGGGGTTTATCCCCGGTAGACAACTATATGAAAATACACGTAGAGGGGCGGTATCAACATGGTACATGCAGAAATCCGAAAAGCCCTCACTGGCCATCTCCTTGGACGTGGAGAAGGACTTTGACAGGGTGCAATGGCCATACATGTTTAGCCTCCTGGAAGAGTGGGGATTCCCAGCTGCTTATATCCAGGCCATACGCGCTCTATATACAAACCCTGATTGCAGGGGCCAAAAAGACCCCCTTCCACCCGCAGAATGGAACACGCCAGGGCTGCCCATTGTCGCCACTGCTATTTGCCATCTCCTTAGAACCGTTACTGCAGGCTATATGCCATCACCCACACATACAAGGAATACGGGTAGCAGAGAAAACCTTCAAAGTATCAGCATACGCAGATGACGTACTGCTGACTCTCACAGACCCCCTGACCTCCATGGGCCACATGACGGACCTGTTGGTCACATATGGAGCCCTATCGGGCTATAAAGTAAACCTCAACAAATCCATGGCACTGCCATTTCACCTCCCGGCCCAGGATAGAGCACAAATATCTGAAAGATATCGCCTACCCATCACTACTGACAACATACCCTTCCTAGGGGTTAGACTCACGGCGCAACACGAACACCTACACGAGACTAACTACTCCCCACTGATTCGCACACTCCTGAGGGACCTGGAGCAGTGGACAGACAAACCCATCTCATGGCTAGGCAGACTCCACTCAGTCAAAATGAACATCCTCCCCAGATTACTGTTCATGTTCCAGGCCCTATCCACACTGGTTAAGAGAAGCGACCTATTCACACTCCAAAAAGCGATTGACATGTTCATTTGGCAAAAGAAACGACCCAGAATAGCTAGAAAACTCCTATATCGACCCAAGGACAGAGTGGGACTGGGGCTGCCAAACTTGTACCTATACTACCTAGCAGCGCAGCCTGCGCAAATAGCATATTGGCACTCCGTGCCTGACACCTGATGATGGGTGGAGCTTGAAACCTTACTAATGGGGCAAGACCTACCCCAGTTCTATCCATGGCTACACAAGACACACAGAGCACTCCCCAGGATAACCTGCCTGGCAATAACAAACTCCTTAAGAATCTGGGATCAAATAGCAACTAAATACTCTTTAAGTAGGTTCCCCTCCCCAATGACCCCCATGCTTAGGAACAGATCCTTCCCACCGGGAATGACGACAGGCGACTTTAGGGGCCTAGAGAAGGCAGGTATCCAGAGAAACGGTCAAGTAGTCACATACGATCAGCTCAGGGAACAATCCCCCCTAACAAACAGGGATTTTTTCTGTTACATACAGATACGAGATTTTGCTAGCTCCAAAGGAGTCAAGGAGACGGCCACCCTCCCCCTCACCTGGTTTGAGAACATTTGCTATCAGGAAAAACACCCCAAGGGACTTATCTCATTACTATACTCACAACTTAGCGGGGAAGCCAAAGAGTGGGGGGAGCTCCGATACACGGACCAATGGGAGGCAGACCTGGGAGAGACACTGGAGGGCTCTGACTGGCAGGACATATGGGAGGCCACAGCACGATCATCCATATGTGTCACCCTCCAAGAGCAATCATTCAAAACACTTTTCAGATGGTACATCACTCCACTAAAACAATTCCGCATGCAGATCACTCCCACTGATCTCTGTTGGCACGGGTGCGGGGAACAAGGCACATATGTGCACATGGGGTGGAAATGCCCCTCAGTACAGGCTTATTGGGTTTGAATCACCAACTTAAGCTCGAACATATTGCAGAGACCTCTGCGGTTGGACCCCTGGGCCTGCCTCCTCTCCAGGCCAACAGATGGCCTCCCACGCCCAGAGCAACAACTGTTAAACATGATTTACCTGGCGGCCCGAAGGGCACTAGCGCAGGAATGGCTCTGCCCGGAAACGCCCCCCATGGCACTAGTGATAGCTAAGATAAAGGATAACTACCAAATGGACAGGTTAACCTCCCTGGTCAGGCACACCACCAACAAATTTGGCAGGACATGGGAATTATGGGAACAATACCAGGAGAATAGGGAGAGTGGACAGGGGAACCGAACACACACTCAGGGCTAAAGACCAAAGCGCACACGATGATCCTCATCCGAGCTGTGGAAGCCGACACTCCAACTCACAGTATCACAGATCACAACATTTATAAAGTTTTGGTTAATGTATGACTTTTTGATGTTCATGCTCGTTATGTTACCTGTAGCTACCAATTGTACCAATTGCAGTTTAACCTACTACGTTATGCCTGCATAAGGATGCCTATTGTTTTCAATGCTTAGACAGTTTGACTAACAGTTCTCCTACTCTACATAAGTTCTAAAATGTGTAGTCTGTGGGCAACGTTGACCAACTATAATATTATGTCATTTCATGCATTTTTGTTTCTCACCTCATAACTACTTATGTTTCAAACTAGTCTTTATGTCAGTATATATATAAAAAAATTGTGTTCCCTTACTAAATCGATGTTCATTATTATATTGTGTATACATGCTATTGGGGCATGGCAAATGCAAATGTAACTGCTTATTCTTTATGCACTCAAAAATAAAGAACTTTAAAAAATACAACAAAAACAAACAAACAACCCAAATACCTGCATGAAGGGGGGAAACAAAAGAAAAACATGTCCCAGATGGATGCTTTTGTCAACACAAGAAAAATGGACCACCCATAGTGCATTTAAAAGACTTGAGGGAGGAGAGAGACAAACAAATGCAGGAGATTTAAACTACCAAACTCTCACATACCACAAAATTCATCAGAAATGTCATACATTGTCTATAAACATGTGTCAAAGACTTAAAGGCTACGTTACAACATTGTCTTTTCCTAATTACATCTCCATATATATCAGTTTGGGGAATATTAGTTAAATTGCTGTCAGGGTCAATGTTTAAACTCTGTCCGCAAAGAAGGAAACATTGGCTTACATCTACACCTGACCTCATAAAATATACTTGTAAAGCAGAAAATGCTATCGGATTGAATACTTGCATAATTCTTGGGCATAAACTCAAACATGGGTTAATTATCACCAAAAAAGGTCCAAATGTTAAATCCAGATTAGAAATTCACTGCAGAGCACACCAAAGACAAGCTGGGGCATATCAACCAAACATTGTTATGTGCTTATAGAGCGTTCCACCTCTTTAATCCAAAGAATATTTATCTTCTCATTTGTTTAATTTACCTTAGATAAAGCTGATTCCCAGTAACACATATCTAGATTATTTTCCGAATTCCCGAAAAGGCATTGTGTAGAAAATCTACTTTCTATTCATTTACTGCTAGTAATTTCCCAACCAAAGATCTAAGAAAACTATTATGAATTGAAGAACCCGGACAATCAGAGGGAATAATATTTGTGTTTGTTTGCTATATCTACCATTGTGACATATTATTATGGTGTGACACAAAACCGTATGCAGTCAAGGGGAGTAGTAGGACTCTATAATTAGTGGACTGCTGTTGCTCTCCATTATATTGTAACACATTAAAATGTAACTAGTGGAAGTTGCCATTCTCTTAAACATTGGTAGACATGTACAATATTCCCAATTATATGAGTTCCTCTAAAGTCGTGTCTCCTGACCAAAGGTAAAGTCTGGACAATTTCTGCATCACCGGTTTCCCAATATTATTAACATAGTGAATATCCCTCGTAGGAATGTATATCAACCACTTCAAAATATATTTAAAATTCCGCGGGGGCGGGCCGCCAAGCTAAATGAAAGCAGAACACCATGACTCCAGGCTCTAGTTCTGAAAAACGGTATTAAACTCACATGCAGATTACCTTAAAGTTGGATTATTCAACATAATGAAGCTTTAATTTGGTACCAGATTGAGGACAAATACACACCGGGAGCACCGAAACTGATAAACCCAGTCTACTTACCATCATAAGCGGCCTCTGAGTGACATCCAGCAGCCGGTAACCTTCCCAGATGTGAAAGCACACCGGATACACTTGCAACCATGAAGGGCCACACTGGCGGGAGATGCTCCACCCCTCCCACCGCGCGGTGGGGGTAATCCCAGCCTAGTGGAGACGGCACACACTAAGGCGGGAATCACTACATGGGGACCACGCTGATCTCCTATACAGGCAAAGGCTGCCGAAATGTGGCCCGCCTGAAAATTAACACTGGAACAAAGGAATATTAACATATGCTTGGACGGGTGCTCCAGACCGTATCTTTTGGCCCGGGACTGGCTGAGCCATGGACAGATTTCCCGGACCGCATGCGAGCCAACATCATGGCTGCTCGGCCCCCGGGTTTTGTGCGCACCCGGAGAGACTTGTCCCCACTGCTGTGAGCCCACCAGGATCGGACTTTGATTGCCTCCGGCGGACCAGTGGCTGTGAGGCAGCGAGTCCTCCATCCTGAATATGTGGCCAGTGATGGGAGAGACATGCAGAGCTTCCAATGAACTTACCGGGACATCGGAGGCCCAGGGGAGGTGTAGGAGACACTGGGTTTGCGGACTCTTGGGGGGTGGACGCCAGGGCATATGCTGTCCCTGAGTGCCCACTGTGCCACGATGCTTACAGGAGGCGGCATAGGCGGTACTGGGGGACCGGTCAGGGACCTAGCACCTGGAGAAACTTTACAACATGGACTGCCCCGATGTTCTTATTTACGACCCTGAAGCTCCATGTGTTTCCCATTTACTAACAAGCTTCCAGTGCATATTACCTTTAAATTTATTATCACCTTTCTGTTATTAATAAATATACAGTAACCACACTTGGCACTGTCTTTATACAGTCAGTCATGTTACATAGCCTCCACATAAGCAGCCCGACCAGGGTTTTGTCTCAATAGGCTTACTTTGGTATATACTATGCCACGCTGCCATTTGATAATTAACAGCCAGACACCGGCCAATAGGCCGTTAACAGCAGATCTTCTATAACCTGCTGCATTGCCATATTATAATTTCACATGTGCTTAATGCAACCTGTTTATTTCTTGTACCAGTTTCAGTTAGTGTTACCAATAACAGGTGGGATTATCCCACCACAATATGAATAAGATCATGCAGACTATGTACACGCTTGCTTCATACCAAAATATTATATGAGCTTAGCATGTAACCATCCGGTCAATTGGAACTAATGCTTTATATTTTCTCAGGCACTCTAGCCTCGTTAAAAGCAGCTAGGTTATGTAATGCACTACTACAAAATGCTAATTACTGAACATAGACAACTTTTAATACGCCGCTGCAAACTGCTTTCATTCTGTTCGCTTACATATACACTTATTCTAAAGTTATAACTGCAGAAAAAAAAAAAATATATATATATATATATATATATATATAAAAACAAAAACTATTTGTTTTCCCATATCAAATGCAATGTTTATCCTTCATCCCCTGCATGGGAAAACTGTTTATTGTGATGACCTTAATAAAACAGATTTAATACATTTATTTAAAATACCAAACCACCAAAACATATCAATTGAGAACCAGAACAGGGAACACTCAAAGGAGCCTGCTAAAAACCAATCTTCTGAAAAAGTGTGGACTGATTTCAATCACATGGACAATACCCTGTATTTATATTATGACAGATCAACAGTGACCAGAGCACAAATTTCATGGATTCATAGGAAGTGAGATCCCTGAATATTCAAAAAGGAAGGTAACAATGAGAGAGGGAAAAAAAGAGGGTTTACAGATACCTAATGTGCAAAGTGTCTTAACACCTGATTCCCATTCTATATTAAGACCATTAGTGGCTCTTGTTTGCAGGGTTAAAAGCCAGTACCTTTCATCTTTCAATACCAATTTCTGTAGATCCCCTTCTCGGTCCCAATTTACACCTGTGTATACCTGGAAACATAAACATGGTTAAATATCTTACTGCACACAATTTAAAATGTTTGGACACAGGAGTTTGTTTGGCACATTCTGTTCCAATACTATAAGTATATTCTGCTATCCTTGTTTTTAACTTGCGTTTAGTTTGGCCTACATAGGGATTTAGTTCTGCTTGCAGCACTTTTACACTTAGACCTACATAAATTCATGTAAAAGGAATCTGACCTCAACACTGGGAAATATTTGTGTCCAATTTTGGTTATTAAACTGAACTGATTACTAGAATCAGTGAAGAAATAGTTAATTTTATCTCTTTAGTAATTCCCTTAGCCTCCTTGTTCACAGGATCTTTCCACTAATGATGTGCACTAAACTCTTGAATTTTTGGATGGAATCCCTATCCCTCTTTTGCGTTGAGTACCCTCTATTAATCTGTTTTTTTATATCACCTCTTTGAAGTGAACATGTTGTTATTGCTTCTGCTTGCTGTTCAAAGGATCCAACAGAGGAACAATTTTTTACGGAGCCTTATAAATTCCCAAAGAGGGATTGCCTTAAAGGTATAGAGAGGATGGCAACCTACTGCTCGTAAATTGGTATTGCCTGCAGCCTCTTTTCTACAACCCACAATTTTAATAATAAAGAATGACATTTAATATTTAACTTCAGTCTGATCTCTCTGCAATAGTTGTTATTACTATAGAACGCATGTCTACTAAACAGTGCATTTAAGTCAGTCCTTTAGAGCACTTTTGTTACTAACAGAGACAAGTAGATTATCTACATGATAGCTTGAGGAATTCTGCTCCCACTTTGCAGACAATCTTAATAATGCAGAGTGGAATTTAATGTTTACTAGAAATATCAGCAAAACTGAAATTGACTTTTTAGAGTGATATCAAAGTTGGGATCCCATTAAATAGGATATCCCCTTAGAAGTACTCTAAAAAGTTAATTTCAGTTTTGCTGATATTTCTTGTAAACATTAAATTAAAAGTTAATTTTAGCAAAACTGAAATTGACTTTTTAAAGTGACATCTAAGGGGAATCCCATTAAATGGGATCCCCCCTTAAAAGTAATTCTAAAAAGTTCATTTCAGTTTTGTAAATATTAAATGAAACATTAAATTCCACTCTTCATTATTAAGATTGTCTGCAAAGTGGGAGCAGAATTCCTCAAGCTATCGTGTAGTTAATCTACTTGTCTCTGTTAGTAACAAATGTGCTCTAAATGAACGACTTAAATACAAAAGGGAATACAAATACAAAGAAACTAGTCCTGCGCTTCAACTCCCATTACTCCTGGGCAGCAGCAATGAATTGTATTTGTATTCACTTTTGTATCACACAGCTAGGTTGCAATGCTGCTGCCCATCCCATGTGTTCCCTATTA